TTTGCATTGAAAATTATCTGTGGCGTTTCTGTAAGACTTGCGAGGGCAGTCTATCATCGTGCGAGTTAATTTCCTTCAGCTCAAGATCAAGAGAATATAAAGGTCTCCTTATTTTTAGTTGTCAAAATTTAAAGGGTCTATTCCAATTCTCAAACAGGCAAACTGGTTCTGTTTTGGTTATTTCCAGGGGGAAATTCCCCCCCCCCCTAGGTTTTTCTTGGTTTTCATAATGGAAATCGCCTTAAAATAGGTGAAATGCATGAAGCTCTCAGTGCGATGATATTTGCCTGATTACTCTGAAGGTTTGCATACGTATTGTTACATCCTTAATGAATGTACGACTTGAGTATGAGTAGATTTGGTAGACGGCTTGTCAATCAACAGAGGCAAACAAATGATTGTGTTTTCGATTCATTCAAATATTTGATAACTTTGAGGTCAATCATCTCCCCTTGCCAGACGGCTACAACACTAGTTTTAGTTCTCCTTTATAATCCATCATTTCATCTCTGAAAACCATCAAAAAAATATTTGGGTACTGCCCTATTTTTGTCTTGGATGCCTTTTAACATCTGCGACTGTGACAAGCTTCTCTCAACTACACCTGTCACGCAATTCCGGCTCTAAGCGGTCACTTGAGCAAATAAACCTACATTCTATAGCTCTATAGAAGTTTCTTTCTTCTGTCGTTTATCACTTTGGAGAGTTGCTGAAATCAGCAAATATGGCTTTTGCATGGAACAAAACACTCATTAGTCTATGATTTCATTGGTTATTAGCATTATCGCACAGTTTACAATAAGGAAACTGTGAGAGGAAAGGAGATGTCGCGTGCTTTTTGACTTTTAAGTTCCAGTGTGTAACAACTTCGGCTTTACTAGACAATGGATGACGGGAAACTCTGCCCCTCGTTTGAAAGGAAATATCAATAGCCCCATGAAATTTGTAAACTGCACTATGTTTCCAGAAAACAAGACTGGAAAATGTTGTTCCCAGTTTCCACCATCAAGAAATTCCACGCAGAAGCCGTATTTGTAGCGTGACTGCGTGACCTCTCTTGAGAAGTACAAAAAACTGTTTACCTTTCTTTTTCAAGGTAACACTTTTAGAAAATTCTTAAACCTTCTGTTATTTTATTTGCCTGTTTTTTTTTTAATTGCCAATAGCATCTGCATCTACTATTATTTTCGCTGAATTTCATAGCCTTTTTTGCATGCACGTGCGAATCGTGTGTTACGCAGCGCTTTTTCGAGTTTGGATGCATGGTGCGTGGTGTGTGGTGCGTGGTGCAAGGTGCGTGGTGCGTGGTGCGTGGTGCGTGGTGCGTGGTGCGTGGTGCGTGGTGCGTGGTGCGTGGTGCGTGGTGCGTGGTGCGTGGTGCGTGGGTTTAGATGTGTAGGTCTGGCGTAAAAGATTTCTGCACGCTGCAAAAGGGCAAGCAACACAGGTTCCTATGTTTTCTCCTTTTTCTTTATCTGTATTTTAATTTCTTTCATGCATTATCATATATGTATGTTTTTTGATTCCCTCAGGGCGTTCCCTTAGATTTGGAAGTAGGTTATGAAAAGTCAGTACTGACCAGAACTGAAATCCTTTCTGGTTGACTGAAATGTGCTTCTAGCCTTCTAAAGAAGGCAACTCTATGCATTGAAACGTTTTAAGACCTTTGTAAACTAGAGACGTCACATGGACGAGTATGTAATGTGTTAAGGGGTCAAACATTTACACGAAATCTGTGACCCTCAAAAAAGATCATGTACTCTTACATAATATGTCCAAAAAGTGTCGCGCATTTACAACACCGTTGGCGCACCTGGCGAATTCTTTCCGCTTGCTTCAATCGAAGAAAGACAACTTATTTACTATTTGCATTAAAGTAGGCTTATCAAATACAAATTTTTACTTTCTCATCATCATTATTATAATTATTTCAATCGAGGGCGAGGTCACTTGCCGACGATACGGCAAGGTAACCTCCCTATTGAGCCCCATGAAATTCTCGTCAAATGTTTTAAAACTTTGTCTTCCCATGGTTTGCACGCAAAAAAGAGAGAAAAACTCCGGTATCTCAATGTAGTTTATTCATTAGCCAATTCACGGTCTGTTCTCCAACAGCCAGAGAAAAAAGAAAAATTGAAACAACGGGCGTATCGGTCAAATGACGTCCAATTTATTCAACAAGGAGTTTGGAAGTTATTTTCCAAGTAAATTTAAGAGGGGGTCAATGTTTTGTGACAGCCGGAAAAAGAATTCTCCGAAACGTCATGTCACTGTTGTAGAGTATTAATTACAAACCAAATTTTCCAAAAAGTTTGATTTTGAGCTGCATTTCAACGCGCAAATTTCCTCGTAACGAAGAAATATGTAAATGTTGATGGCATTGTTCATTGGAAGTGTGTCCAGATAATTAAAAAAAATATATGATACTCTTCCTTAGAGTAAACGAATGATGACGGGAAAAGCAATATTCAGATTTTAAGGAGGCTTCATAGAGTATTTTGAGCGCACGAGATCTGGGTGCGAACATAGCGCGAGCTTTAAAAGTGTCAACATATAAAACAAACATGGCAGCTCGATAGGATCGCACGATTGTTATATGAAAAATGTGTGTTAAAAACAGTTTAACACAATACAGCTTTTATGTGATGGAAACTAAGGTTTCCAGAAACTGCACCCTTAATATTCATAGGTCCTCTACGCCTGGAAAAGAGGTCAATCAAAAAGAAAACACTGCGGGGAAGATTGCCAAAAGGCGACAGACTCGAAAGTTTACGCATGCTCAGATCTAGATCTTCCGAGCAAGATTTATCGCGTCTCCTTCGATGGAATTTCCTAAGATTTGCTGGACCGTTAACATATTTGTGCCCTTCCATTTCAAGAGTTTGTTGATTAAATAGCGAGGCAACTGGCTTTATAATCCCTGTTTTTTTCGGCTTATAAATAGTCGGCAGGACAAATTTTGCACACTGAAAATTTGACAGATTGCATCAAAGCAAATTGGAGGTTATCAAAGACAAAGCCAATTATCACTGGCAAGCGCTTCCTTTCGTGGAGTCTCAGCTTAACAACGAAAATCATTTTACTAATATTTACTACAGCAAACGATAGTCTGAACCTTGCTCATCGCCCTTTTGATGCTGGTAACCTAGAAAAGCGAGAACATAAAAATTTTCTAGAAAAACAATACGCTGGCACGCGCGCCAACTTTCAGCAAAAACCCTATGAGCCTTCTTAATAATAAACACATAACAAACCTTGAGAAAACGCGATGTTTGACATCTTAACAGAGAATTGAACTAAAACAGAAAAGACAAAAATGAAAAACCTTTTTTTAATCAATTCTCATTTAAATATTCTTTTGCTTATTGCTTATTTGTTTTTCATTTATTTTTTACCTCTTGATATCTAATTATCACATGCACTTTTTTTAGCTGTTGTGGAGAAAATGCAGTAAATTGAGACCCTTGTGTCGAAAGTATTTTTGTACAGACCTGGTGTTGGGTATATTAAAAGTCTTCACAACTGAATGTATTCTTGCGTTAAGGGACTGGTTCGCAAATCTTAATAATTAATAATAATTGATAATACTATTTTAGCATGATTAATAATGATTATCAGTAGTAGTAATAATTATTGATACTTAAGCACTAGACCACACTTTCTATTGGTTTACTGGCTTAAAAACTCACGTGGGATGTTGGGAGAGGAAGAGAAGTTTGTAAATCACGAGCCGAAGGTGAGTGACTTACATATTTTTTTCAAATTTATAAGTTAATTTTTTGGTTTACTGATACAATACACGATAGGTTTTTGACCAATCAGGGCGCTCGTAGTACAGTGAAGCCTGTATTAAGCGGTCACTCACGCTAACACGCAAACAGGTTGTACGGATTAGGGATATTGTAAATAATGATAAACAACGCCACTTAATGTACAAAAACTCGCTTGAAAATGCTTCTTAACTTAATTTTGGGAGAGAAATATGGATTAATAATCACTTCAAGGATTATTCTTAGTTTTATTTTGAATGGTCCTGGCCGTGCAATACAAGAGGAGGACAAAAGCAAACGGGTCATTGCGACTAGGTATAGTTGAGTGCGACCACTTCATAGAGGTGACTGCTTAATAAAGGCAGAAAATGCAGTGTTTAAGGGGAAAGAAATTTGGGAATTTGACAACTGACCGCACAATGCAAGGTGACCGCTAAATACTAAATACTATATCTCAGTTATCTCATAAAGTTGAAGAAACTTAGATAATGTACAACTTATTGCAAAAAAAGTGGTTAAAGAATTATGCAGAAAGCAAAACTGAAAAAGCACTTCTAAGAATTTAACAGTTTTGAATCACTTGCTTTGAAATGTGAGTTAGGTTGAAATACTACTTCTCTCCTATCTTCTGACTTGTTTTTCACACATTTGCAGTATCCAACATGAATACTAAGAATTTAGATTTCTCCAAACAGTTCATATTTGGCTATTTCATTTATTCATTTCTGATTGTTTTCTTTGGCAGATCATTTCAATCGAGAGTATATATCCGTGTTTATAGGTAAGAATACATAAAGAAGGTTTGCTTCATAAAGCTACAACTAATTCTGAGATTAAAGCATCAGAAAGTAACAGCTGAAGTTGGCATGGTGACGCAATGGGTGACGTCGTCATCAACATCAGAATGCCGTGAGTTTGTTTCGTTATAAATGAAAGATGACGTCAAAATGTGGTAGGAACATCAGTGACAAACTCGACCGCGCCTTGTTGTTACCATTTTTGTTTCTACAAACATTTTGACGTTATTTGCGAGTTCTTACCGAACAGACACGTGGCAACACCTATTTGTCAAGTAGCAATCTATAGTCTGCTTAGCAAGTTCTCACTCTGGCGTCTGAGAAAAGAAGGGGGAGGGGTGGATAGATGGAAAGAACATTTTTTCAGTACCCCTCCTCCCCTCCCCCTTTTATAGTGAGCTTTCTCAGGTCATACATGGATTGAAAGAGTTTACTACACCAAAATGTATCCCATAGCTTTGATGTATCTGTCACCATTATCTGGGCCAACTGCTGCTACGTTTCCACACGTAGTGGAGTTATCAGGACGTCCTCCGGTGCCAAACCCAATTCTGGAGTCACAAGTGTGGCAATGGTTTACCTGGTTAGCAATATAACCAATTCTTGCTCTAGAATAATAATTTCTGTCACCTTCAGCATTGAAGCCCTCTTTGTTACAGTCCAGTTGCAAAGAGCCTTGCGCACCAATCAACTTCTTCCACTCGTTACGACCCAGTGAAGTAGCGCGGTATGTCCCATTAGCAATCAGTGAGTGCAGAGAGTTGGCCTGCTTGTTAATGACAATAAACCTGAGCTGTCCACTTATCTTCATACCGAGACAGATCTTGGAGAAAGATGTGTTCCAATAGGTCGGTAACTTGGTCTCTTGTGAGTCAAACCCAGTCCTCCCGCCGGGGATGTTGTATTGGTTTTTATCACTCCAGTAGTGAGAGTCATAGTGAAACGTTGCCTAAAAAGAATTAAGATTTCATTTATCCTTAAACATAAATAACACGATGCATCATCAAAGGCAGGACCTTCATGAAATCAATAATACTGTTAGTGTAAATACCCTACTTGTAGGCGGGTTAATTAGCAATTCGTCGCGCTTTTAGATATTAGGGTATTGTCGTACTTATGTCAGAAGAATTTCCGTAAGCGGGACCGCGAGAGGAATATGGACGAGTTGCTAAGAGATTCTCTCATAGTTTCGATGCTTCTGAAAATGTCTTTCTTGCGCTTCATCATCCGCAAGAAAACCCCGCTAAGAATATTCCTCCAAATGAGGCTTACCTGGCTGCCGTTAATCTTCATTACAGGCGTCCATCCTCCACCTCCACATCCAAAATTCCCCATCTGACAGAGAACTGTGATTGGTTTAGAGTCAAGGTACAGTGGAACCAGTTGACTAGCGTTTGACCTGTTTGACGCGAAAAGAAATCCATTCATGATCATATTTGTTTGCGGCGAAAAATTTCCTCTCGACGTCGAAACTATTCGATAATTTTGTATCTTTTTTATGCTCTATAGGATAATAATTTGGTATCACTTACTTGAGAAGGTTGTAAGCTTCTTTGCAGGACCCAATAACTAAATATAAAGAGGAAAAAACAAAAGTGAGGTGTTTAAGATATTTAGGCTTTGTCACAGTCCAGTAGGGAACACAAAAGTAGAGTCGTTGTACATTCTTGTATCAAGCTATGAACAAAATCTTTGATCATTAAGAGATGATAAACATCACTTTGGTACCGGTTATAATTTACCGATGGAGGGGGTCAGAGGATTTTGGTTGAGTTACGATAAAATTAAACAGATCGCTCCCCCCCTCAGTTAAGGCTTTGTAAAATTCTTACGATCCCCACTCGTTAGTAGTTTTAAAATTGACAGCCAATTTCTACAGTACCCCCCCTTTAAACTCTTTCGGCGACAACTGTTCCCCCCCCCCGCTCCTTCGTGGTAAATGATGAATGATAATTGTTCCCTTAGGAGAGGTAAAAATTAAAAATAAATATTTAGTTCCCCACCTCAGACCTTTTGATTTCGCAGTCAGATGATTAATCAACTTGAGCACCAAGAGATTCAACATCTTTATGCATTGCATTAAATGTTTTTTAGTTATCTATTTTCGCTAGCTATTTTTTAAGTCTTCGAGCTGCAAGGTAAAGCAGAAAAATTTATCGCAGTCACTTGAGAATTTTAGAATTTAACACCATGCTAAACTATTCACCTTTTTCACAATATTCTCCTTTGAAGCCTTCTGTACAGCGGCATCTGAATGAGCCATCTCTATAGTTTGTGACACATGTAGCCTCGTGTTGACAAGGTGACAAAGAGCAAGGTGACTGTAGAGAAACAAAGTAGGAAAATGGTTCATTTTGAAAGGCAGCTGTAAATCTGTAAATGTTCGGTAAATAGGGAGTACATTAATCCGCCTATCGCGGCGCGCTATTTCGTCGATCCGGTCCGGATTTGTTTTAATATAAATTTTTATGGTATAGCCATACCTCATCTGATAGCATCAGTGTTTTTCTTATTTTTATCAGTATTAAGATTTTGGATTAGTTTTCTGCCTTTGCCGGTATTTGAGAAAGTGGCTTTATGAGGTTAAAATATATTGCTAAGCCGTTGGGATCTATAAGTCAGGAAAGCTTTTCTAACTGTTTCGAACGTTTGCAGAAAATGAAGAAGTCTATCGATAAAACATTTTAAACCACAAAATTGACTAAAGGCTGACCAAATACTGACGATTTAAACAACGATTCCATTCTTCAAATAAACAGAATCTGGTATCTTGACTAAAGGCTGACCAAATACTGACGATTTAAACAACGATTCCATTCTTTAAACAAACAGAATCTGGTATCTTGACTCAAATTTTCAACTGAGTCACATGTATTTTCTTAGTCTGCCGACGTGCCTGGGAAACAGAAGGTGGTAAGTAAGTAAGATAGTGCGCTGCACGAGAAAGTGTTTGCATGCTTTACAACATGCCATGGAAATACGGTTGTCATCACAATGAATACGACAACAGACCGACACCATTTGCAGTGGCTATAACCTGACTGCCTTCTCTTTACGATCTTGACAAGGCTGTCAAACTTTTAACACGTTTATTTGTCAAAATTAAGAAATGTTTCCTACCTCAATGGCGAAATGATGCGAACTTTTATTCCCTTTATACTCTGTGGAGTTTCTGAACTTATCAGATGACAACAATTCGCACCAAAGTTTTCCATGGGCTCCTTTGAAGGCGGCCAGGTTCACAGAAAAACAGAACGGATTGCTGAGACATTCTAACGTGCAGTCAAACACATCAGACACTGCCACTGTTCCAACAAGCGGGACATTCAAGTATTGAAACTCGTGTTTAATGAATGTACGTCTCAGGAAGGTTCTTGTGGAGGAGGCGCGGTTGCCCTCGCGATACACAGGGTTTGATTCTGTAACAGGAAAGAAGAAGAGTTCAGTAATAAAAGGACATGGACATGATGGCACCACTCACAGGAGGGAGTGGCGAGGAAGGGACTGGCTGGTTACAAAAGAGGATAAAGTTGCCTATAGAACACTACCCCCTGTTATGAGTAATTGTTGTTAATATAATCTTCCAGAAATTTCCAGACGGCTGAGTCATGCTGACTTGCATACCGTAGAGCTTTCCGGAAAATTTTATCAAGTCACGTATTTATTAGGTAATACTTCTAAAATATATAGTTCTTAAGTAAGCTTTTAGAATTTTCCAGAACACTTTGTGAATATATATATAAATACTCACTTATGTAATAGTAGTAGCGGTAAGTGTTATCGTCGGAGCGACGACTGTCTTTGATAGCTATACCGAGAGAGAGTTACTGTGGAAGATTGCCCGTTCAAGGGGACTTTGGAGACAGCACTGAGATTGCATCAGTGGTGAGCTGGGATATAAACCGTGGTGGTATTGTAAGTATTGTATCACTTTTAGGAGTCACTCCTCGCTAAGAACATTACTCGCCGTTTAATATAGTAGTTGAGTTTGTGCAATTGAAGCGTTTTTCTGTCAGTAAGATTATACCGTAACATGCACCCCCCTTCCCCATATCGTTCAAAAGAATTGATATTTATCATAACTATGGGACCCCTCCCCCCCTCCACTTCTCTCCCGGCTCTTCCAATAATTCCGGGGTGACCCCTGCCTCTTTGTAACTAAACGGAATTTGTATTCCTGCTGTATTAGGATGTTGTGGGATATTTTGAAGTATCGATAGCTAATTTTAAGCTGATCCATGCGTTTTTCTCTCGCTTTGTTTTCGGGACAGCGCTCAGTTCTATGCCAGAATTGTTGTCATGGTTATCAGCTGATTAACCATTTACAAGTTGTGTTGGACGTTGTTTCACTGTCCTTTTTTCCACAACACAATCATTGACAGTCTCTTTGCTTATTCTTAAACCCACACAAATGAAAATGTTGGCTTACTTGATTCAAAATTACAGTCAAACCTGATGCGGCTCCGTAAGTCCCGAATTTGTTTCCCCGTGATTTTCACCTCAGTTAAGCGGTCACCTTTATGAAGCGGTCGCAATCACCTTTGAGTGAGCCTGAACGGCCTCTTTGTATAATCTTCCACCTGTATTGAGCGGTCACTTAAAGCGGAACTACTTGAATAAATCGAAGAATTATCCTTCGAGAAAAATTTGATCCATATTTTCCTTTCGAAATCAATGTCAGTAGTACTTTTGAGCGAGGTTTTGTACAAAAAGTTGTCAATTATGGCATAAAATGGCGCTTTTTTATCGTTGCCTAAATTAACCTTAATCTTTAGAACCTTTTTAAGCGGTCAGCCCTGCATTCCCCGTGGGTGACTACTTAATACAAGTTTAACTGTAGTTCGTCATGAAAACAAACATGTGAGTTATTTTAAGTGTTTTACACGATATTTAGCCCACTATTTACGGAAAGATATGTGACGTTTGATTAGAGGCCTAAAAATGCTATTAGATCATACGAAACCAAGGTAAACAGTCGTTAATAAAGAATTCTAACTTGTCCATGAATTTTTTTCTAGTTGGAGGCAAATTTTGTCAGCTCCCTCGTGTTTATTTGGCAGCCATCGATTCCAAATACCTGAAAGGTTGGAAAATCTTGCGACACTGTTACTATGGTACCTGTTTTAATTTCAGAATTCATAAATTTTGCCAATTGGAAGCAAAGCAGTGATTATTTTCAATAGCTTTTAGCTGTCTTAACATCTTGGGCCCCTTGACTTTCGCTAAATTTAAGTAATAATTTTCCTCCACTGTTGTCGCCAAACTTTGTTTGGTGCTCAGCCTCGGAGGCCCTCGGTCAAGTTGGGTAAAATCAGGCGATATTTCGCAAGATAAAGAAGGATAACATGTGAACAATTCAGCTCGGTGAAAAAAAAAACCGTTTTGTGGAACACTTAAAACGATCATATCGCAGATAGATTTTTCGCAGCCATTTCAACAAGCCATTTCGATTTTAATTTATTCAATATTTGTTCAGGGAGCTCATAAACATTTTTTTCATAGAAATTTTTATTGTCCTACCTTCTCAGTTATCAACACCTGCCGTGTCATTCATTATAGATATATGTGCATTCTGAGAGACTTAAATGCATTTATTCACTGAGGCAACATTTTAGAATAACATTTTGCAAATAAAGTCACAAACCTTCAAATTGTAAACATTTCTAGCTCTTCGGTGTTGTAATGTTATCATTAGTTCTCTTCCTCAAGATTAATTATCTAACTATAACATATTGTTTTCGAACTTTCCTTCGGAAAAAGGAAGAAAATCCGTCAATGATCTGATGGGCATAAGATACGAATGTTTCTACGAACCAAATTTTGGAAGTCTTTGATAAACTATTTTGAGTAAAAGCTTGGCAAGGTCGAAAGCCTGTAGTTAACCTCCGCAATTTTATCCAGGTCTAAAGAAATGTTGCTGTTTTCTGGCAACATTTAGAATTTAACTTGAAGTTGAATAAAGGCTTTTTCAATCAATGACTTAGCTTAGTCTTGAAAATCATTTCTCAATGTGAAGTGATGGAGTGTTGTTTGCATTTAACCAAGTTGAAGGGCTGGACGTTACAGGGCAACAGATCGACTTCAACTGTGTAACTTTCACAAATTATATTTTACAACAGCATATATATATGAAAGGAAGTTAATTAAACATTGAGATTATGCCATTCAATAGCGTCCTAAGATATCAGGTTTAAAGAAAACTGTTGAAACAAGTTTCTAAGGAGCATTCAACTCCCATCACCACAAGTCAAGAGAAAATATAACCAAAAAAAACGAAGACTGATAGAACTCAGGGAACATCGGACTTATATCCAGATTCTGGGTTGAATTAATATAAATGAATAAATATTGCCAACATTAATGTTCTAACACTAAAAACAATAAGAGATACAATGCAAACGCATCTAACAAACCTTTTGAAAAGGCTGGATCTGGAATTAGAGCAGAAAGTTCAAATAGGAGGGGATAAAAAAGACCAGAAAACATGTTGCCGGAGAGGAGATGTTGCCTTGCCCCTTATGCGACTTGTAATCAACTGAAATATTGACTACAACCAATATAATTTGAGCGATTCCAGCCGCCCCCAATTTGCTGACGTACAAACCAGCCCTTTCCTTTGTTTTTGCAACAAAAACATGTCTCAGTGCTATGGCTGAGTTTTAAAAGGGCGGAGGGGAAAACGAGTCAAAAATGGGGTTTGAACTCGTTTTAGTTATAAAATGATCCCATGACTCAATTTCCGTTTTACTCTTCCCTTAGTTCCAAAAAGGAAACATTTTCTAAATAGTATCGGATGAACTGATCGCGCAATGAGCATTTATTTACATCTAAGCTTGCCAATAACATCCAGTCGTTTGGGTTTGTTTCTAAGGGCAGCCTGTCGTGAATCGTCCAGATAAAATTCTCTGTTTTAAAATTAGGATAAACTCCCAATATCCAGTTTGTAAACGCAGGCCTCACGAGAAATGCTCAACTAAGGCTGAGTGCTTTGAAATAATATTGTAGAATCACCGAAATCACAAGGCCTGAAAACATTTTCATGTCACTAGTGTTGCAATCGCGGAAAAATTTGTATTAAACGAACGCCGCCGTATCAACTCGCTTACTTGCGGGATCTGTATACCAACTCTGCGCACCATCTGTCGAACATTTCTCCGCTGTGACATTTTAGCGTTTAAACAAACAAAATCGTTTATTCCCCATCTTCCTTTCCCTTTCTTCGCTTATTTTCCTGGAAAATTGATAATACTGCGAGTTAGATCTTTTTAGTGGCCATTAGGAGTGCGAGGGAAGGGTTAATAATAATGATAAAGGAAGTGTAACCTGATAAGTTTTCTCATTGACAAGTTTGCGACGGCAGTGTTAATGAAAAATAATTTCGAAAATATCAAGGACAGTTTTGGAAGAAGGGAAGTTGCTATTTAAGGAAAAACTTGCCAATGAAAACTCAATTGACGGTAAGGATGACTTGGCAAGAAGGAAAATCAGAAGATTTTCGCGAAATTCTGCGCTACGACAGAAAAATAACAGAAATGCCATATGTGGGTTATGAACAAGTATTAACTGTTGGAAACCTATACATATCATTAAAGATTTAGAACAAAAAAAACTTTTAAAGAGAGTCTTTTGGTATAAATTTTTAATAAGTTGTGAAAATGGGTTCCTATTTACGCGTTAACTCAATAATTTACATAAAGGACTTCGAAATAAACGGTCCAACGTATGATTAATTCTCAATAAAGCTTGGTTTTTAGCAACACTTCAGAGCACAAATTTCCTCGTAACGAGGAAATGTTTAAGCGTTGATGGCATTATTCATTGGTCGTGTGTCTAGATAGTTAAAAACATTTTTGTTCCTCTTCCCAAGTATAAACGAATAATAACGGGGAAAAGCAATATTCAGATGCGAATATCAAACAAGTATCAAGTGCAAATTAAAAACCTTGAGAAAACGCTGTTTCTGACATCAGAGCAGAGAATTGAAATAAAACTGAATAGACAAAAATAAAAAAAACACGTTAAAAGAAATCGAATCTTCTCGTCCGCAAAGGAAAGAATCTTAGCTTTGTTTCAAATGCGATCAGTGACGAGCTGCAGTCAAGAACTAATATACCTGTGAACATTTCCAAGGCGCTGATTTCAACCAATAGAATTTTAAAAATGATTGCAGCTGCTTCGAGTTTTCTGACGTGCAAACCAATGCGGTCATTGTTCACTCAAACATGTCAATAGAAACAATTTTTCCTAGTATTCCTACCACTGAGAAAGTGAGGGAAGAGGTGGGCGCTTATTCAAAGGGGGGGGGGACGCTTTTTTGACATTATGAAAGAGGGAGTAGGCACTTATTCGGGGAAGGGCACTTATTAGAGCGTGGGCGCTCAGTCGAGGATATACGGTATTCATTATTTGTAACCTTTATTCCGAGCAGACATCATCTTATTTAAAGTATCTGATAAACTCTTGTATTTGGCACAGTGAACATTCAATTCTAAGATTACTCCACTATATTGTAATTCTTCTAATTGCAAAAATTTTACATAACTATGAATTTGAATTAGAAATCTTGATTCTAGTCGTATTGTCTTACTGTGATGTTTCTAATATGGTGTCTCGGCGCCCCTCTTTTTAATTTATTTTTATTCAAATAATCTTTTGCCTAATGACTGTAAATATATGAAAAATCATATTTGTTCACTGCGGTGAAGAAACGAATATAGACGATCCTCGCAGCTATGAACACTACTGCACTAGTAGTTGAAATAAAACCTGAAAAATAATTCAGGCCTGCACGGGATTTGAACCCATGACCTCTGCGACATCGGTGCAACGCTCTACGAACTGAGCTAATGAGCTAACTGGGAGCTGGTCATTATGTTGGATCCAAATAAACCATCCTGTGGTGAATAATGACTTACTTGTTTTTCATTTATTTTATACCTATTGTTATCAAATTATCATATGCACTTTTTCTAGCCGTGGAGAAATTGCTGTATAATAAGGTTCTTGTGTCGGACGTATTTCTTTGTACAGTCCAGGCCCCGGTTGTTCGAAGATCGGATAACGCTATCCACTGGATAAATCTCTATCCAGTGGATAACGCTCTACGTTTTGCTATTTTATCCGCTGGATAGCGATTGATTAGTTGGAGAGCGTTATCTACCCTTTATACAACTAGGCCCTGGTGTTAGGTATAGTATATAGTCTTGACAAGTGATTACATACTTGCATGAAGGGCTAGTTCGCAAATCTTAATGATTAAAAATAATTAATAATAGTTATTATTAGTAATAATAATTAGTAATAATTAAACAATAGACCACACTTTCTATCAGTTTACTGGCTTAATAACTCACGTGGGATGTTAGAGGAGAAGGAGAGGTTTGTAAATCACGAGCTAAGGGTTGTCAAAGAAATATGCAAAAAGCAAAACAGATAAAGCTCAATATGATTTGGTCAGCAAAGGCCTATTAGTGGTAATGTTTGGCGAGTGCCTGAAAATGTCTCGTGTTGCTATCCTGGCTTTACTTCTTTTTTAAGATTTAAACATCACAGCAGTTTTAGTAACCAGTCAACTGAATTTCCGTAAAACTTAGGGCTCAAAACGTTGTACAAATAGAACCCATGCGGGAAAAGTCGTCTCCACCCGTCTTCGCACTCGCCGCAAATTGGAAAAAAAGCAATTTAGAAGCCGAACTAAACAGAAAGCAATCTATCGTCTCTTTAGCAAGTTCTCACTTTGGCGTTTGAGGGGAGAAAGGAGAGGGATGGATAGATGGAAAAGGGCTTTTTTCAGTACCCCACCTCCCCTCCCCCAGTCTTCGTGAGTTTTCTAACGTAATACATGGATTGAAAGAGTTTACTGCACCAAAATATATCCCATAGCTTTGATATTTCTGTTGCCGTTATCTGGGGAACGAGCTGCTACGTTTCCACATGTAATGGAGTTATCAGGATATCCTCCGGTACCAAACCCAATTCTGGAGTCACAAGAGCCACAATGGTTTTGATTGTTAGCTATATAACCAACTCTTGCTTTAGAATGATTTCTTAAACTACCTACAACATTGAAGCCCTCCTTGTTACAGCGCAGTTGCAAAGAGCCCTCCGCACCAATCAACTTCTTCCACTCGTTACGACCCAGTGAAGTAGCGCGGTATGTCCCATCAGCAATCAGAGAGTACAGAGAGTTGACCTGCTTGTTAATGACAATAAACCTGAGCTGTCCACTTATCTTCATACCGAGACAGATCTTGGAGAAAGGTGTGTTCCAATAGGTCGGTAACTTGGTCTCTTGTGAGTCAAACCCAGTCCTCCCGCCGGGGATGTTGTATTGGTTTTTATCACTCCAGTAGTGAGAGTCATAGTGAAACGTTGCCTAAAAAGAAATAAGAGGATTTAATTTATCCTTAAAAACATTTTATGCATCACCAAAGGCAGGACCCTCATGAAATCAGTAATACAGTTAGCGTACAAGCCATAAATCTACACCCTACTTGCAGGTCTTTGCAGGCGTTTTAGATATTAGGGTATAGTAGCACTCATACCAGAGGAATTTCTGCAAGCAGGGACCGCGATAAGAATATGGGCGAGTTGCTAAGAGATTCTACCGTAGTTTCGACGCTTCTGAAAATTTCTTGCTCCCGCTTCATCACCCGCAAGAAAACCCGCCAAGAATATTCCGCCATATGAGGCTTACCTTGCTGCCGTCAATCTTCATTAGAGGCGTCCATCCTCCATCTCCGCATCCAAAATCCCCCATCTGACAGAGGACTGTGATTGGTTTAGAGTCAAGGTCCAGTGGAACCAGTTGACTGGCGTTTGACCTGCTTGATACGAAAACATCCATTCTTTATCATATTATTAGAAAGGGTAAGTTTCTAAAGAAGCTGTGTTGCTGCGTCGGTGGGAGAGTATAACAGGGTAATTTACTGTTATCAACTGAGTTGATAACGTAAATAGGCCACCGTAAAGGGTTTCAAAGCTGACGTTTCGAGCGTTAGCCCTTCGTCAGAGCCCATCGTCAATTGCTCGAAACGTCAGCTTTGAAACTCTTTACGGTGGCCAATTTACGTTATCAACCCAGTTGATAATAATAAATTACCCCGTGATCATATTAGTTTCCGGTGAAAAATCTTCTCTTAACATCGAAACTATTCGATATTTTTGTCTTTATTTTATGCTCGAAAAGATAATCATTTGGTATCACTTACTTGAAAAGGTTGTAAGCTTCTTTGCAGGACCCAATAACTAAATGTAAAGAAAAAAAAAATAAAAGTCAGTGTTTGAAATATTTCTGTTCCATCACAGTCCAGTAGGGGACACAAAAGTAGAGTCGTTGTACTTTCTTGTATCAAGCTATTAGCAAAATCTTTGAGCAATAAGAGATGCTAAATATTACTTTGGTACCAGTTATAATTTACTGCCGAGGGAGGGGGGGGAAGGTCAGAGGATTTTGGTTGTGGCACGATAAAATTAACCTTCCCCCCCCCCTAAGTCAAGGCTTTGCGATATTCTTATGTATCTGTTATCCTCAGTCCCCTTGAAAATCATGTGATCCTCCAAAATCATCCACCCCCCTTCCCCGTGGTAAATGATAAATGGTCCCCAAAGAGAAGTTAGTAAAAACAAAAATAAATATTCAGTTCCCCACCTCAGACCTTTCGATTTCTCCGTCAGATCCTTAATGAACTTGAGCATCGACAGATTCAACATCTTTATGCATTGCATTAAATATTTTTTAGTTATATATTTTCGCTAGCTATTTTAGAAGATTTTCGAGCCGCAAAGTTAAGTAAAAATATTTATATCAGTCACTTGAGAATTATAGTATTTAATGCCATGCCAAACTTTTCACCTTTTTCACAATATTCTCCTTTGAAGCCTTTTGCACAGCGGCATCCGAACGAGCCATCTCTATAGTTTGTGACACACGTAGCCTCGTGTTGACAAGGTGACGAAGAGCAAGGTGACTGTAGAGAAACAAAGTAGGAAAATGGTTCATGTACTTTGAATAGGAGGTACATGAATCTGCCAATCCGCGTTATTCCGTCAATCCGGTCCGGATTTGTTTTAGTATAAGTTTTTCATGCTATAGACCTCATATGATAGCATCTAGGCTTTTTTATTATTATTTATTTATTTATTTTATTTTCATCTACAGTATTAAGATTATTGCTGAGTTTACTTCCTTTACTGGTATTTTAGAAAATGGCTTTATGAGATTAAAAATATAATTTATATCTAAGCTGTCGGGATCTATGAGTCTGGAAAGGTTTTCTAACTGTTTCGAACGTTCGCAGAAACTGTCGATAAAACATTTTAAAACACAAATTGACTAAAGGCTGACCAAATACTGACGATTTAAACAACGATCCATTCTTTAATTAAATAAACAGAATCTGGTATCTTGACTCAAATTTTCAACTGAGTCACATGTATTTTCTTAGTCTGCCGACGTGCCTGGGAAACAAAGGTGGTAAGTAAGTAAGATAGTGCGCGGCACGAGAAAGTGTTTGTAAGCTTTACAACATGCCATGGAAATACGGTTGTCACCACAATGAATACGACAACAGACCGACACCATTTGCAGTGGCTTTAACCTGACTGCCTTCTCTCTAAGATCTTCACAAAGCTGTCAAACTTTTAGCACGTTTATTTGTCAAAACTAAGAGTGTTTCCTACCTCAATGGCAAAATGATGCGAACTTTTATTCCCTTTATACTCTGTGGAGTTTCTGAACTTATCAGATGACAACAATTCGCACCAAAGTTTTCCATGGGCTCCTTTGAAGGCGGCCAGGTTTACAGAAAAACAGAACGGATTACTGAGACATTCTAACGTGCAGTCAAACACATCAGACACTGCCGCTGTTCCAACAAGCGGGACATTCAAGTGATGAAACCCGTGTTTAATGAATGTTCGCGTCAGGAAGGTTCTTGTGGAGGAGACAAGGTTGCCCTCGCGATACAGAGGGTTTGATTCTGTAACAGGAAAGAAGAACAGTCAAGTAATAAAAGGACATGATGGCATCACTCACAGGAGGGGGTGGCGAGGAAGGGACTTGCTAGTTACAAGAATGGATAAAGTGGCCTATAGAACACTACCCCCCCCCCTCCTCCCCCATACCGCTCAAAATAATAAATGTACATCATAACTGTGGGACTCTAGATCTTATGAATAATTATTTAGCCTTTTCAAGAATGGTTTCAAGGCCGATCAGTATCAGCTTTCCTCCTTCTCATTCATCTCCTCCCCTTCCCTCGCAGCTCTTTTCAATAATTTCGGGGTGATCCCTGCCTCGCTACGACTAAAACAAAATTTGTATTCTTGCCGCATTAGGATGTTGTAAAGTTCATCGAAGAGGTAACTGAGAGTGATGGAAAGCATAAGATATTTATAAAATCGAGTGATATTTTGAAGTATCGAGAGCTAATTTTAAGCTGATCCATGCGTTTTTCTCTCGCTTTGTTTTCGGGACAGTGCTCAGTTCTATGCCAGAATTTTTGTCATGGTTATCAGCTGATTAAACCTATGAGGTATTTTAAGTATTTTACAGGATATTTAGCCCTCTAGTAAAATATTAAGATATTTAAAAATATTCTGAGCATTTACGGAACGAAAGGTATGTGACGTTTGATTAGAGGCCGAAACGTGTTTTTAGATCAAACGAGACCAAAGTAAATAGTCTTTAATAAATAATTTTAACTTCCCCATGAATTTTTCGTTCTAATTGGAAGTAAATGTTGTCAGCTCCCTCGTTTTTATTTAGCAGCTATCCATTCCAAGTACCTGAAAGGTTGGAGAAATCTTGCGACACTGTTACAACGGTACCTTTCTTGATTTTAGAATTCATAAATTTTGCTAATTGAAAGCAAAACAGATATTATTTTGTCAATAGCTTGTAGCTGTCTTAACATCTTGGGCCCCTTGACTTTAACAATTTTTAACAATTTTCCTTCACTGTTGTCGCCAAACTTTGTTTGGTGCTCAGCCCAGGAGGCCCTTGATCAAGTTGGATAAAATCAGGCGATATTTTGCAAGATAAAGAAGGATAACATATGAAAAATTTATTTTGATAAAAAAGAGAAATTCACTCCGTTGAACACCTTAAACGATCATATCGCAGATAGATTTTTCGCAGCCATTTCAACAAACCATTTCGATTTTAATTTATTCAATATTTGTTCAGGAACCTCTCAACCATAAATTTGCATTGTCTTACCTTTTCAGTTTTCAACATCTGCCATATTATTTTCCATAAATATACGAGCATTTTGAGTGACTTAAATATATTTATTTACTGAGGTAACATTTCAAAATACATTTTGCATATAAAGTCACAAACCTTTAAATTCTAAACATTTCTATCTATTCGGAGCTGTAAGGTTATCATTCGTTTCTGTTTCTCGTGATTAATTATCTAACAATAACATATTGCTTTCAAAATTTTTCTTCGGAAAAAAGAAGAACATCAATCAATGATCTGATAGACAATGGAAGCGAAAGTTTCAAAGACTGATAGAATTCAGGGAACATCGGACTTCTATCCAGATTCGAAGTTCAATTACTATGAATAAATGAGTATTACCAACATCAATGTTCTAACACTGAAAACAAAAAGAGATACGCATTAATGAACGCGTCTAACAAACCTTGTGAAAAGGCTGGATCTGGAATTAGAGCAGAAAGTTCAAATAGAAGGGGATAAAAAAGACCAAAAAACATATTGAGAGGAGATCTCGTCGCTGATGTGAGATATTTAGCCTTGCCTCGATGCAACTGACTTTTGAGGAACTGAAATGTTGACTACAACCAATAGAATTTGAGCGTATCCAGCTGCTCCCTATTTTCTGACGTACAAACCAGCACTTTCTTTGGTTTTGCAACAATGGATGTCTTAGTGTGCGAGAAAAGAGTTACTAATAATAAAGGAAGTGTAACTTGATAAGTTTTCCCGTTGACAAGTTTGCGACTGCAGTGTCAATGGAAAAAAAATTGGAGTATATCAATGCCAGTTTTGTTGTTTGTAAAGTTGCTATTTCAAGAAAAACTGCCAACGAAAAATCAATTGACAGTGCAAATGACTTGGCAAGAAGGAAAATCAAAAGGTTTTCGTGAATCTCTGCGCTTTAATTTTTAATAAGTTGTGATGATGGGTTCCTATTTACGTGTTAACTCAATAATTTACTAAGAGAACTTTGAAATAAACATACCGTGTCCGTGATCACACAATATGGTTACCACTTTAAACTTTTTAATCATCTGTTGCATTTCCACAACCCAAAAATTAGGATATCTAATGAACGCGAGTGTGTTTCGTGATTCATGAGCCCAAGTGATGTCTTTAAATTAAAATGTCTCGAAGGACTTGATGTGCAGAGTTGACTCAAAAATATTTTCACGATAAACAATTTTCGACTTACAAACTACTTATCATTTGCCATCCGAGCTGAAATATTCCCAAAATTACCGAGAAAGCTTCTTTCGAAAACAAAAAAGTCGGTTTTAGATTCATTCGTGGCTGGCTCATTAGTCTATGATTTGATTATTTATTAGCATTATCGAACAGTTTACAATAAGGAATCTGTGAGAAGAAAGGAGATTTTAAAGTGACCTGTCGCGTGCTTTTTGACTTTTAAGTTCCCGTGTGTAACAACTTCGACTTTTCCAGACTGTGAACCTTGCTCATCGCCCTTTTGATGTTAGTAACCTAGAAAAGCGAGAACATAAAAATTTTCCAGAAAAACAAATACGCTAGCGCGCGCGCCAACTTTAAGCAAAAATCCTATGAGCCTCCCATAACAAACCTTTAGCCGCTGAATTCGGAAACTCGAAGCTTGTCCAGGCTCGCCCTCCATTAGAAAAGCCAACTTCTATCTGTGCTGCAAGTGAAAACATTCTGTTGTGTGCAGACGATCCTCAGAAAGGAATTATTCAGGTAATGTTACATTACAGTGGAGTTGGCTTTGCCGGTTCAAACTCGTTACCTACCCGACTGGCATTTCGAATGTCATATTTATGGAAGTTCTCACATAAAGAGCTTACTTTACAGCATGCAGTCGGTCTAGACGGTGGCCTTTACGTTTACAACCCTTTAAGCTTAGAAGTTGACCTACTTCTACAGAACAACACGGAGTCTTGTAAAGAAATCAGAAGACTTTGTGAATTTGAAGACGGGATAAAGTTCACTGACTCAGGAGATCGAAAGGTAAAGTTCTTCCGTCCTTCTGAGGAAAACGTTAAAACCTTGATGTGCTCTGGTCAGGAAGGAGCAAGTGATGGAACGGATGAAACATGTTCTTTTACGCAAGTTCATGGCATCTGTTCTATGGAGAAGACTCTATTCGTATCGGATGTTGCTACAGGTTGCATAAAACTAGCATCGAGACTCAGTGGTATTGTGTCGTTCATAAAAGTCCTTGGAAGTATCTATAGCAGTTTTGGTATCAAAGCCCAAAGCATAGGAAAAGCACACACGTCTCTTCAAGATGCCGTAGACAAAGTATCGTATGTGACAACATCACAAAGACCGTTTCTGAGGTGAAACAACGGTACAGTGTAAGGGAAACCACAGCAATCAACGGCCCTGAAGGAACTGTGTCTAATAAAACTCAAGTCTTACTTGAAGGAAGAATGCGCCGCCTGCACAGCATAGCTCCAATTGATAACGGTTTTCTCGAAGACATTGATTTGCACATTCCTCACAACAGTTGTGGAAAATCTAAACGCAGTTTCCCATTTCAAGCACGAGACCTTTACCGCATTGCAGTATTTCCAAGACTCTGGAATAATTAGCGAGGAGTCGTTGAAGAGAGTAAGAAAATGGGCAGCCAGGTATTTTACTCATGAAAAATCCTACTATCCTGTCCCTCACACCAGCACGGAGTTTGCAAATGTGAACTTTGTGCCACCCCTACCTTCAGAAAAGATCAACGCCGAGACTGAAAGTGCTGTGAAAGAATTTGCGGCGAGGTATCTTCCGTTGAGGCAAAGGACAGTTCGGGAGGAAACTGCCAAAGACAAGGCAGGGGCTTTACCACCGGCCGTCTACACGAAGAAGCAAGATTCCACCAAAGTGGACTTGTTGACGGGACTAGGGAACGATTTTAACTCTGGAGATCAGCCAGTAGGGCTCAGCAGCGCCAAAGGAGCCGTTCAAGCTATTTCGGAAGTTGGGAATGTGACATGTGTCGCATTGCTGACGACTACGTCGTTGAAGTGGCAGTTGCTGAGGTGCGAACATATGCAAACAAATATGACACGGACTCAGAAAATGACTTTTCTGACCGAGAGGATGAAGTTATTACCCTAACTACGGTTTCTGATCCGGGAGGCCAATTCGTGCCCATTTTCGCTTGGATGTTTAATAACCCAATTGAAAAAGACACCCTTTAAACACAGACTGAAAGTCATTTGGAAGTTCTCAGAATTATTTCATTTCAGAATTGAGAAAAGAGGAGTTCTTTTTGTATCAATTTTCGACTTGATTTTAGAATTTACGCTCTATGTGTCTTTTTCGCCAAAAATAGGGTCGGAAGTAATAACTAAGTCACTAAGTCAATTAATAACAGTCTTTTAACTGACAACTGACAAATGGCCCAAAAATCTAACTGAAAACTGATAAATGGCCGAAATTTTAACTGACAAGTGTACCCCCCCCCATCATCCGGACCGTCATTAAGGATTTAGCAATATTCATGCAAACCTTCAGAATCATCGCATTGAGAGATTTTATGTATTTTACCTATTTTAGTGAAAACCAAGAGAAACCTTGGGAGGGGGAGGGTCAATTTACCCCGGAAATCATGTACCAAAATATGACACTTCCCAAGTGTTAACGAATGATAACAGAGAAAAGTAATATTCAGATGTTAACATCAAACAAGTAGCAAATGCAAATAACAAACCTTGAGAAACTGCTGTGTCTGACATCAGAGCAGAGAATTGAAATAAAACGGAATAGAAAAAAACAAAAAATATGTTTATAGAAATCGAATCTTCTTGTCAGCAAGGGAAGAATCCCAGCTTTGTTTCAAATGCGATTAGTGACGAGCTGCAGTCAAGATCTTATTTTCCTGTGAACATTTCCAAGGCGCTGATTTCAACCAATATAATTTTAAAAATGTTTGCAGCTGCTTCGAGCTTTCTGACGTGCAAATCAATGCGGTCATTGTTTACTCAAACTTGTCAATAGAAACAATTTTTCCTTGTATTCCTACCACTTAAGAAAATGAGGGAAGAGGTGGACGCTTATTCAAAGGGTGGGGGGTTGGGGGGGGGGGGGCGCTTTTTTGACATTATGAATAGGGAGTAGGCACTTATTCGGGGAAGGGCACTTATAAGAGCGTGGGCGCTTAGTCGAGGAAATACGGTGTTCATTATTTATAACCTTTATTGTGAGCAGACATCATCTTATTTAAAGTATTTGATGAACTCTTGTATTTGGCACAATGAAAATTCAATTCTAAGATTACTCCACTATATTGTAATTCTTCTAATTGCAAAAATTTTTACATAATTATGAATTTGAATTAGAAATCTTGATTCTAGTTGTATTTTCTTACTGTAGCGTTTCTAATATGGTGTCTCGGCGCCCCTCTTTTCAATTTATTGTTATTCAAATATTCTTTTGCCTAATAACTGCAAATATATGAAAAATCATATTTGTTCACTGCGGTGAGGAAACGAATATAAACGATCCTCGCAGCTATGAACACTACTGCACTAGTAGTTGAAATAAGACCTGAAAAAAAATTCAGGCCTATACGGGATTTGAACCCATGACCTCTGCGACACCGGTGCAGCGCTCTACCAATTGAGCTAACGAGCCAGTTGGGAGCTGGTCATTATGTTGGATCCAAATAAACCATCCAAGTGGTGAATAATGACTTAATTGTTTTTCATTTATTTTATACCTATTGTTATCAAATTATCATATGCACTTTTTCTAGCGGTTGTGGAGAAATTGCAGTATAATAAGGTTCTTGTGTCGGACTATTTCTTTGTACAGTCCAGGCCCCGGTTGTTCGAAGAGAGGATAACGCTATCCACTGGATAAATCTCTATCTGGTGGATAACGCTATACGGTTTGATATCACTTATCCGCTGGATAGCGATTTATCTGTTGGATAGCGTTATCCCCCCTTAATACAACTGGGCCCTGGTGTTAGGTATACTAAAACGTCTTTACAACTGATTACGTACTTGCATTAAGGGCTACTTCACAAATCTTAATGATTAATAATAATGAATAATAGTTATTATTAGTAATAATGATTAGCAATAATTAAACAATAGTCCACACTTTCTATCAGTTTACTAGCTTAATAACTCACGTGGGATGTTGGAGGAGGAAGAGAGGTTTGTAAATCACGAGCCAAAGGTTGTCAAAGAAATATACAGAAAGCAAAACAGATAAAGCTCAATATGATTCGGTCAGCAAAGGCCTATTAGTGGTAATGTTTAACGAGTGCCTGAAAATGTTCTATCCTGGCTTTACATCCTTTTTAAGATTTAAACATCACAGTAGTTTTAGTAACCAGTCGACTGAATTTCAGTAAAACTGAGGGCTCACAAAGGTGTACAAATGGAACCCATGCGTGTAAAGTCCTTATTCAAGTCTCTTCCCGTCTTTGCACTCGCCGCATATTGGAAAAAAAGCAATTTAGAAGCCGAACTAAACAGCAGGCAATCTATCGTTTCCTTAGCAAGTTCTCACTTTGGCGTTTGAGGGGAGAAAGGAGAGGGATGGATAGATGGAAAAGGGCTCTTTTCAGTACCCCACCTCCCCTCCCCCAGTCTTCGTGAGTTTTCTAACGTAATACATGGATTGAAAGAGTTTACTGCACCAAAATATATCCCATAGCTGTGATATTTCTGTTACCGTTATCTGGGGAATGAGCTGCTACGTTTCCACATGTAATGGAGTTATTAGGATATCCTCCGGTACCAAACCCAATTCTGGAGTCACAAGACCCACAACCGTTTTGATCGTTAGCTATATAACCAACTCTTGCTTTAGAATGATAACTTGAAGTACCTACAGCATTGAAGCCCTCCTTGTTACAGTTCAGTTGCAAAGAGCCCGCCGCACCAATCAACTTCTTCCACTCGTTACGACCCAGGGAAGTAGCGCGGTATGTCCCATCAGCAATGAGTGAGTACAGAGAGTTGGCCTGCTTGTTAATGACAATAAACCTGTGCTGTCCACTTATCTTCATACCGAGACAGATCTTGGAGAAAGGTGTGTTCCAATAGGTCGGTAACTTGGTCTCTTGTGAGTCAAACCCAGTCCGCCCGCCGGTGATGTTGTATTGGTTTTTATCACTCCAGTAGTGAGAGTCATAGCGAAACGTTGCCTAAAAAGAATTAAGAGGATTTAATTTATCCTTAAACATAAATTACACGATGCATCACCAAAGGAAGAACCCTCATGAAATCAGTAACACAGTTCGCGCAAAAGCCATCAATCTATACCCTACTTGCAGGTCCTTGCAGGCGTTTTAGATTTTAGGGTATTGTAGCACTCATGCCACGCAAGCAGGGACCGCGATAAGAATACGGACGAGTTGCTAAGAGATTCTATCGTAGTTTCGACGCTTCTGAAAATTTTTTGCTCGCGCTTCATCACCCGCAAGAAAACTATGCCAAGAATATTCCGCCATATGAGGCTTACCTTGCTGCCATCAATCTTTATTAGAGGCGTCCATCCTCCATCTCCGCATCCAAAATCCCCCATCTGACAGAGAACTGTGATTGGTTTAGAGTCAAGGTCTAATGTAACCAGTTGACTGGCGTTTGACCTGTTTGATACGAAAACATCCATTCTTTATCATATTATTAGAGGGGGTAAGTTTCTAAAGAAACTGTGGTGCTGCGTCGGTGGGAGAGTATAACAGGGTAATTTAGTATTATCAACTGAGTTGATAACGTAAATAGGCCACCGTAAAGGGTTTCAAAGCTGACGTTTCGAGCGTTAGTCCTTCGTCAATTGCTCGAAACGTCAGCTTTGAAACTCTTTACGGTAGCCAATTTACGTTATTAACACAGTTGATAATAATAAATTACCCCGTGATCATATTAGTTTCCGGCGAACAATCTTCTCTTGAAACTATCCGATAATTTTGTCTTTATTTTATGCTCGAAAAGATAATCATTTGGTATCACTTACTTGAAAAGGTTGTAAGCATCTTTGCAAGACCCAATAACTAAATGTAAAGAAAAAAAATAAAAGTCAGGTGTTTGAGATATTTAGGCTCCATTACAGTCCAGTAGGGGACACAAAAGTAGAGTAGTTGCACATTTTTGTATCAAGCTATTAGCAAAATCTTTGAGCAATAAGAGATTTTAAACATTTCTGTGGTACCAGTTATAATTTACTGCCGATGGAGGGAGGGGGGGGGGGAGGAGTTGTGGTACGATGAAAGTAACCGCCCCCCTCCCTCAGTCAAGGCTCTGCAATACTTTCATGTTTCCGCTCTCCTCAGTCTCCCTGAAAATCATGTGATCCTCCAAATCCTCCACCCTTCTCCCCCGTGATAAAAAATAATAATTGGTGCCTGAGGAGAAGTTAGTAAAAAGAAAAATAAATATTCAGTTCCCCACCTCAGACCTTTCGATTTCTCCGTCAGGTGCTTAATTAACTTGAACATCGACAGATTCAATATCTTCATGCATTGCATTTAATATTTTTTTTGTTATATATTTTCGCTAGCTATTTTAGAACATTTTCGAGCCGCAAGGTTAAGTAAAAAATTTATAGCAGTCACTTGTGAATTATAGTATTTAATGCCATGCCAAACTCTTCACCTTTTTCACAATATTCTCCTTTGAAGCCTTTTGCACAGCGGCATCCGAACGAGCCATCTCTATAGTTTGTGACACAGGTAGCTTCGTGTTGACAAGGTGACGAAGAGCAAGGTGACTGTAGAGAAACAAAGTAGGAAAATAGTTCATGTACTTTGAATAGGGAATACATGAATCTGCCAATCCGCGTTATTCCGTCAATCCGGTCCGGATTTGTTTAAGTATAATTTTTTCATGGTAAAAACTTCATATGATAGCATCTAGGCTTTTTTATTTGTTTATTTTTTTTCCATTTTCATTTACAGTATTACGATTTTTACTGAGTTTACTTCATTTGCTGGTATTTTAGAAAGCGGCTTTATGAGATTAAAAATATATTGCGAAGCCGTCGGGATCTATGAGTCTGGAAAGGTTTTCTAACTGTTTCGAACGTTCGCAGAAACTGAAGAAGTCTGTCGATGAAACATTTTAAAACACAAATTGACTAAAGGCCGACCAAGTACTGACGATTTAAACAACGATCCATTCTTTAATTAAATAAACAGAATCTGGTATCTTGACTCAAATTTTCAACCGAGTCACATGTATTTTCTTAGTCTGCTGACGTGCCTGGGAAACAGAAGGTGGTAAGTAAGTAAGATGGTGCGCGGCACGAGAAAGTGTTTGCATGCTTTACAACATGCCATAGAAATACGGTTGTCACCACAATGAATACGACAACAGACCGACACCATTTGCAGTGGCTTTAACCTGATTGCCTTCTCTTAACGATCTTGACAAAGCTGTCATACTTTTAACACGTTTATTTGTCAAAATTAAGAAATGCTTTCTACCTCAATGGAAAAATGATGCGAACTTTTATTCCCTTTATACTCTGTGGAGTTTCTGAACTTATCAGATGACAACAATTCGCACCAAAGCTTTCCATGGGCTCCTTTGAAGGTGTCCAGGTTTACAGAAAAACAGAACGGATTACTGAGACATCCTAACGTGCAGTCAAACACATCAGACACTGCCACTGTTCCAACAAGCGGGACATTCAAGTATTGAAACTCGTGTTTAATGAATGTACGTCTCAGGAAGGTTCTTGTGGAGGAGACGCGGTTGCCCTCGCGATACACGGGATTTGATTCTGTAACAGGAAAGAAGAACAGTTTAGTAATAAAAGGACATGATGGCACCACTTACAGGAGAGAGTGGCGAGGAAGGGACTGGCTGGTTAGAAGAGAGGATAAAGTTGCCTATAGAGTGGCGAGGAAGGGACCTTTGGCGAAATCTGCTGTTTAGGGAGATAAATCATCTTCACTAAATTGCAACGTTTGAGATATACCACAAAAAAAAAAACTTTTTAAGAATGGTTTCAAGGCCAATCAGTATCAGAACCCTTCCTTTTCAATCCCCCCCCCCTTCCCTCTTGGCTCCTTTCAAAATTCCGGGGTGACCCCTACCTCTCTACGACTAAAACAAATTTGTACTCGTGCCGTATTAGGACGTTGTAGAGTAAAGCGAGGAGGTAACTGAGAATGGTGGAAAGCATTGAGACATTTATAAAATCCAGGAAGTTTTCGAAGTATCAGGAGCTAATTTTAAGCTGATCATTGGGTCTTTCTCTTGGTTTGATTTAGGGACAATACTCAGTTCTATACCAGAATTGCTGTCATGGTTACCAACTGATTAACCATTTACAAGTTGTCTTGAAAGTTGTTTCACTGTCCTTTTCATAACACAATCATTGACAATCTCTTTGCATATTTTTAAAGCCATTCAAATAAAAATGTTGGCTTGCTTGATTCAAAATTACAGTCAAACCTGCATTATGCGGCTCCGTATTAAGCGGCACCCTTAGCAGACGGTTGCTTAAGTCCCAAATTTGTTTCCCCTTAATCACTGTAATTTTCACCTCAATTACGCGGTCACCTCTATTATTTCAAGTAAAATTGATCCATATTTTCCTTTCGAAATCAACGTCAGTAGTATTTCTGAGAGAGGTTTTATTCAATAAGTGGTCAATTATGGCACAAAATGGCGCTTTTTTTCATCGTTTTTTATATTACCCCTATTCTTCGGAACCTGTTTGAAGCAGTCACCCTGACATTCCCGTAGGTGACGGCTTAACACAGGTTTGACTGTAGTTCGTTATGATACAAGATATTTTAAGTGTTTTACACGATATTTAGCCCTCTAGTAAAACATTAAGATATTTAAAAACATTTTGAGCATTTACGGAAAGATATGTGCCGTTTTATTAGAGGCCTAAAAGTGCTTTTAGATCATACGAAACCAAGATAAACAGGCGTCAACATAGTGTTACGGTTCAATTCAACCGGCAAAAAACATTGCAATCCTACAAACTGAGCTACTTTATTAAACAATTAGTGATATTCTTAATAAGGAGCGACTCCTAAAGGCAGTACAGTACTTATCCTCGATAAACTTACTTAAGCCCACAACAGTCTATGTCTTAGCTCACCACTGAGCTAAACTCACAGTTTTCTCCAACGTTTCTTGAAATTAGCAATCTTTCACCGTAGCTCTCTCTCACGGTATGGCTCACTAAACAGTAGATCACTCCCGACAACAATAACCAACACTGTTATGTAAATGAGTCCTTATATACATTCACATTCACAAAGTGTTCTGGAACATTCCAGAAGCTTACAAAAGAACTATTTTAGTAGTATTACGTAATAACTGCGTGACTAGATGAAATGTTCTAGAAAGTACTATGGTGCGCATGTCAGCATGACTAAGCAGTGTGGAGACTTCTAGAGGCTTATATTTTCCACAACCATTACTCGTAACAAAAGAATTTTAAATTCCCCATGAATTTTTTCTGATCTAATTGGAGGCAAATTTTGTCAGCTCCCTCGTGTTTATTTAGCAGCTATCCATTCCAAATACCTGAAAGGTTGGAGAAATCTTGCGACACCGTTACTATGGTACCTATCTTAATTTTAGAATTCGTAAATTTTGGAAGCAAAGCAGGTGTCATTTTGTCAATAACATCTTGGGCCCTTTGACTTCCGCCAAATTTAATTGACAATTTTCCTCCAGTGTTGTCGCTAACTCTGTTTGATGCCCAGCCCAGGAGGCCCTTGGTCAAATTGGGTAAAATCATGCAACCTTTCGCAAGACAAAAAGGATAACATGTGAAAAATTTAGTTTGGTTGAAAAAGAAAATCGCGTCGTTGAACACTTAAAATGATCATATCACAGATAGATTTTTCGCAGCTATTTCATCAAGCCATTTCGATTTAACTCATTCAATAGTTGTTCAGGAACCTCCTAAAAACCTAAATTTGCATTGCCTTACCTTCTCAGTTATCAATATCTGCCATGTCATTTACCGCATTCTGAGTGACTTAAATACTGAAATACCATTTCAAACAAAAATTTTGAAAATAGAGTCACAAACCTTTAAATTGTAAACATTTCTAGCTCTTCGGTGCTGTGATGTTATCATTCGTGTCTCTTCCTCAGTATTAAATATATCTAACTATAACATATTGCTTTCAAACTTTCCTTCGGAAAAATGAAGAACATCAATCAATGATCAGATAGGCATAGAAAACGAATGTTTCTGCGAACCCAATTTTAGAAGTCTTTGATAAACCATTTTGAGTAAATTTGAGTAAAAGCATGTTAAGGACGAAAGCCTGTAGTTAACCTACGCAATTATATCCAAGTTTAAAGGTGTGTAGCTGTTTTTTTTACTTCATTTAGAATTTAAATTGAAATTGAATAAAGGCTTTTTCAATCAATACTTTAGTTAAGTCTTGAAAAATATTTCTCAATGTGAAGTGATGGAGTGTTATTTACATTTGCCCAAGTGGAAGTGCTGAACGCTAGAGGATAATAGATTGACTTCAACTATGCAACTTCACAACAGCAGATATATATGAATGGAAGTTAACTAAACGTTGAGATTGTGCTATTCAGCAGCGTTCCAAGTTATCAGTTATAAAGCAAATTGTCGAAACAAGTTTCCAAAGAGCATTCAACGCCCACATTAACGAAGTGAAAATATGAAAAAAAACAAAGACTGGTAGAATTCAGGGCTAGTTGAATTACTACGAATAAATGAATTACACCAACATCGATGTTCTAACACTGAAAACAATAAGAGATACGATTCAAACTTATCTTACAAACCTTGTGAAAAGGCTTGATCTGGAATTAGAGCAGAAAGCTCGAATAGGAGGGGATAAAAAAAACCAAAAAACATGTTGAGAGGAGATCTCGTCGCTGATGTGAGATATTTAGCCTTGCCTCTGATGCATCAGTTGTTATTAAGTCAGTTGCATCTGCTCCCAATTTTCTGACGTACAAACTAGCACATTCCTTTGTGTTTGCAACAATGGATGTCTTAGTGCCATGGTTGAGTTTTATGAGAGCGGAAGGGAATGCGGAGTGGAGTATTGGAGTATATCAATGCCAGTTTTGGAAGAAGAAAAGTTGCTATTTAAGGAAAAACTTGCCAACGAAATATCAATTGACAGTACAGATGACTTGGCATGAAGGAAAATCAGAAGGTTTTCGTGAAATTCTGCGCCATGACAAAAGAAACAGAAATGCCATATGTGGGTTATGAAGAAGTATTAAGTATGTCGAAATGTTGTCGGAAACATCCATCTTGAAAAACGTTCATGTAATCCGCTGGGGTATTTTCAAAATTTATGAATAAACTCCAGAAACTCCCGTCATTATCCTAAACATGTTCAACATTTAGGTTAGGTCATTGTATTTTTCTTCTTCTTGATATACTCCAATTTTTTTTCCATTGACACTGCAGTCGCAAACTCGTCAACGGGAAAACTATAGACACATATTTTATCACACAAAACTTATCAAGTTACACTTCCTTTATTATTAGTAACTCTTTCCTCGTACTCCTTATGGCCGCCAAAAAGATCTAACTCGCAGTATCATCATTTTTCCAGGAAAATAAGTGACGAAGAGAAAGATAGGAAGTAAACGATTTTGTTTGTTTTAACGCTAAAATGTCAAAGCTGAACACAGGTGGCCCAAGCTCCAGCTGTGAGATAATCATCATGCGAAATACTGAGTCATGGCGAAATTATAAGAGTTTGTAAAGGAATATTTACGACCACTCTTAGGAATAAAAAAATACAATCAAATTCTCAATAAAAATGTGTATTTCATTATGTACGTGATAAACCTAGTAATGGATAACTCGCTAAAATAGGTTCTTTCAACTTAGTAAGCGGTCAGATAACAAGCGATGCACTGTGGGAGTGAGGTGAGAAATTTGATTTTTGACTCGTATTCCCTTCCGCTCTCATAAAACTCAACCATGGCACTAAGACATCCATTATTGCAAACACAAAGGAATGTGCTAGTTTGTACGTCAGAAAATTGGGAGCAGCTGGATACACTCAAATTCTATTGGTTGTAGTCAAGATTTCAGTTGTTATTAAGTCAGTTGCATCAGAGGCTAAATATCTCACATCAGCGACGAGACCTCGATGATAACATTACAGCACCGAAGAGCTAGAAATGTTTACAATTTAAAGGTTTGTGACTCTATTTTCAAAATTTTTGTTCGAAATGGTATTTCAGTATTTAAGTCACTCAGATTGCATGATTTTACCCAATTTGACCGAGGGCCTCCTGGGCTGGGCACCAAACAGAGTTAGCGACAACACTGGAGGAAAATTGTCAATTAAATTTGGCGGAAGTCAAAGGGCCCAAGATGTTATTGACAAAATGACACCTGCTTTGCTTCCAAAATTTACGAATTCTAAAATTAAGATAGGTACCATAGTAACGGTGTCGCAAGATTTCTCCAATCTTTCAGGTATTTGAAAAGCTGCTAAATAAACACGAGGGAGCTGACAAAATTTGCCTCCAATTAGATCAGAAGAATTCATGGGGAATTTAAAATTCTTTTGTTACGAGTAATTGATGTGGAAAATATAAGCCTCTAGAAGTCTCCACACTGCTTAGTCATGCTGACATGCGCACCATAGTACTTTCTAGAACATTTCATCTAGTCACGCAGTTATTACGTAATACTACTAAAATAGTTCTTTTGTAAGCTTCTGGAATGTTCCGGAACACTTTGTGAATGTATATAAGGACTCATTTATATAACAGTGTTGGTTATTGTTGTCGGGAGTGATCTATTGTTTAGTGAGCTATACCGTGAAAGAGAGCTACAGTGAAAGATTGCTAATTTCAAGAAACGTTGGAGAAAACTGTGAGTTTGGCTCAGTGGTGAGCAAAGATGTAGACTGTAGTGGGCTTAGTAAGTTTATCCAGGATAAGTGCTGCACTGTCTTTAGAAGTCGCTCCTTATTAAGAATATCACTTTTTGTTTAATAAAGTAGTGGAGTTTGTAGGATTGCAGTGCCTTTCTGTCGGTTGGATTATACCACGGGGAATGCCGAAGTGATTGCTGAAAAACAGGTTCCGAAGAATAGGGGTAATATAAAAACGATTAAAAAAAGCGCCATTTTATGCCATAATTGACCACTTATTGAATAAAACCTCGCTAAAAAATACTGCTAACGTTGATTTCGAAAGGAAAATATGGATCAAATTTTACTTGAAAGATAACTCTCCGTTTTATCCGAGTAATTCCGCTTTAAGTGACCGCTCAATACAGGTGTAAGATAATACAAAGAGGCCGTTCACAATCACTCAATGGCGATCGCGGCCGCTTAATAGAGGTAACCGCTTAATAGAGGTGACCGCTTAATTAAGATGACAGCTACAGTGATTAAGGGGAAACAAATCCGGAACTTTTAAAACCGACCGCTTAATACGAGGCGATCCCTGGAACGGTACCGCATAATACAGGTTTGACTGTAATTTTGAATCAAGCAAGCCAACATTTTCATTTTTGGGGGTTTAAAAATATGCAAAGAGATTGTCAATGATTGTGTTCTGGAAAAAAAAAAAGGACAGTGAAACAACTCTCAAACAACTTGTAAATGGTTAATTAGCTCATCATAATGTTAACAATTCTGGCATAGAACTGAGCATTGTCCCGAAAACAAAGGGAGAAAAACGCACAGATCTGCTCAAAAAAGCTCCCTGGATTTTAAAAATGTCTCAATCATTTTTACCATTCTCAGTTATCTCTTCGCTGTAATCTACAACATCCTAATACGGCACGAGAAGGAGGGAGGCTGATACTGATCGGCCTTGAAATCATTCTTAAAAAAGTTTTTTTTTTAATGGCATGCCTCTAATGTTGCAATTTAATGAAGCTGATTTACTACTGACCATAGAAAAATGATTTTTTACCTCCCTAAATAGCGGGTTTCGCCAAATGAATGTTAATAAGAGTAACGTAGACATAATAAACATCAATTACTTTGAATGGTATGGCGTGGGGGTGGTGCCATCATGTCCTTTTATTACTGGACTGCTCTTCTTTCCCTCTACAGAATCAAACCCCGTGTATCGCGAGGGCAACCGCGTCTCCTCCACAAGAACCTTCCTGAGACGTACATTTATTAAACATGAGTTTCAATACTTGAATGTACCGCTTGTTGGAACAGTGGCAGTGTCTGATGTATTTGACTGCACGTTTGAATGTCTCAGCAATCCGTTTTTTTTTCTGTAAACCTGGCCGCCTTCAAAGGAGCCCATGGAAAACTTTGGTGCGAATTGTTGTCATCTGATAAGTTCAGAAACTCCACAGAGTATAAAGGGAATAAAAGTTCGCATCATTTTGCCATTGAGGTAGGAAGCATTTGACAAATAAACGCGTTAAAAGTTTGACAGCTTTGTCAAGATCGTAGAGAGGAGGCAGTCAGGTTAATTAAAGCCACTGCAAATGGTGTCGGTCTGTTGTCGTATTCATTGTGGTGACAACCGTATTTCTATGGCATGTTGTAAAGCATGCAAACAGTTTCTCGTGCTAAATAATCCCGGACCGGATTGACGGAATAGCGCGGGTTGGCGGATTCATGTATCCCCTATTCACCACATATTTATAGATTTACAGCTGCCTTTCAAAATATATGAACCATTTCCTACTTTGTCTCTCTTCAGTCACCTTGCTCTTCGTCGCCTTGTCAACACGAAGCTACCTGCGTCACGAACTATAGAGATGGATCATTCGGATGCCGCTGTGCAAAAGGCTTCAAAGGAGAATATTGTGAAAAAGGTGAATAGTTTGGCATGGTTTTGTGACTGATATACATCCAACAACATTAAATACTACAATTCTCAAGTGACTGCTATAAATTTTCTACTTAACCTTGCAGCTCGAAAATGTTCTAAAATAGCTACCGAAATATATAACTAAAAAACATTTACTGCAATGCATAAAGATGTTGAATCTCTCGATGCTCAAGTTGATTAAGCATCTGACTACGAAATCAAAAGGTCTGAGGTAGGGAACTGGATCTTTAATTTTATTTTCACTTCTTCGCAAGGACCAATTACCCACGGAGGAGGGGGGTGGAGGACTTTAGAGGATCACATGATTTTCAGGGGGAAAGGAAGGGGAATCAGTCGCCGCCGACACAGGTTAAAAGGGGGGGAGGAAAGAGGAAAGAGGAAAATGTAGAAATTGACTGTCAATTTTAAAACTGCTAATGAGTGGGGATCGTAAGAATATTACAGAGCCTTAACTGAGGGGAGGGGGGGAGAAGTATCAGGTTAATTTTAACGTGACACAACCAAAATCCTCTGACCTCTCCCCCCCCTCCCTCGGCGGTAAATTATAACTGGTCCCTAGGTAATGTTTATCATCTCTTATTGCTCAAAGATTTTGCAAATAGATTGATACAAGAATGTTCAACGACTCTACTTTTGTGTCCCCTACTGGACTGTGATGGAACCTAAATATCTTAAACACCTAACTTTTGCTTTTTTTCTTTATATTTAGTGATTAGGTCCTGCAAAGAAGCTTACAACGTTTTCAAGTAAGTGATACCACATGATTATCTTTTCGAGTATAAAAAAAGAAAAAAATCATCGAATAGTTTCAGCGTCGAGAGAAGATTTTTTGCCGCAAACAAATATGATCACGAATGGATTTCTTTTCGTATCAAACAGGTCAAACGTCAGTCAACTGGTTACATTAGACCTTGACTCTAAACCAATCACAGTTTTCTGTCAGATGGGGGATTTTGGATGCGGAGATGGAGGATGGACGCCTCTAATGAAGATTAACGGCAGCAAGGTAAGTCTCATAAGGCGGAATATTCTTGGCGGGGTTTTCTTACGGGTGATAAAGCGCGAGCAAGAAATTTTCAGAAGCGTCGAAACTACGATAGAATCTCTTAGCAACTCGCCCATATTCTTATCGCGGTCCCCGTTTTCGGAAATTCCTCTGGCATGAGTGCTATAATAACCTAATATCTAAAACGCCTGCAAGGACCTGCAAGTAGGGTATAGATTGATGGCTTGTACGCGAACTGTGTTACTGATTTCATGGGGGTCCTGCCTCGGTGATGCATCGTGTTATTTATGTTTAAGGATAAATTAAATCCTCTTAATTATTTTCAGGCAACGTTTCACTATGACTCTCACTACTGGAGTGATAAAAACCAATACAACATCACCGGCGGGAGGACTGGGTTTGACTCACAAGAGACCAAGTTACCGACCTATTGGAACACACCTTTCTCCAAGATCTGCCTCGGTATGAAGATAAGTGGACAGCTCAGGTTTATTGTCATTAACAAGCAGGCCAACTCTCTGTACTCTTTGATTGCTGATGGAACATACCGCGCTACTTCACTGGGTCGTAACGAGTGGAAGAAGTTGATTGGTGCGGAGGGCTCTTTGCAACTTAATTGTAACAAGGAGGGTTTCAATGCTGTAGGTAGTTTAAGTGATCTTTCTAAAGCAAGAATTGGTTATATTGCTAACAACGAAAACCATTGTGACTCTTGTAACTCCAGAATTGGGTTTGGTACCGGAGGATCTCCTAATAACTCCACTACGTGTGGAAACGCAGCTACTTATTCCCCAGATAACGGTGACAGAAATATCAAAGCTATGGGATATATTCTGGTGCAGTATTCTGGTCCATCCCTTCCCCCTTCTACCCTCAAACGCCAGAGTGAGAACTTGCTAAGCAGACTATAGATTGCCACCTTCGGCTCGTGATTTACAAACTTCTCTTCCTCCTCCAACATCCCACGTGAGTTATTACGCCGGTAAACTGATAGAAAGTGTGCTCTATTGCTTAATTATCACTAATCGTTATTACTACTAATAATTATTATTAATCATTTTTAGTTATAAAGATTTCCGAACTAACCCTTAATGCAAGTATAAAATCAGTTGTAAAGACTTTTAGTATACCTAACACTAGGTTTTCACAAAAAATACGTCCGACACAAGAACTCTATTGTAATGCAATTTCTACACAACAGCTAGAAAAAGTGCATGAGATGATTTGATAACAATAGGTATAAAATTTATGAAAAACAAATAAATAATAGGCAAAACAATATTTGAATAGGAATTAATAAAAAGAGGGCGCCGAGGCACCATATTTGAAACGCCACAGTAAGACAATACAACTAGAATTAAGATTTCAAATTCAAACTCATAATTATGCAAAATTTGTGGAATTAGAAGAGTTACAATATAGTGGAGTAATCTTAGAATTGAATGTTCACTGTGCAAAATACAAGAGTTCATCAGATACTTTAAATAAGATGATGTCTGCTCGGAAAAAGGTACAATAAATGAATACCGTATTTCCTCGACTAAGTGCCTACGCTCTAATAAGTGCCCTTCCCCTAATAAATGCCTACCCCCTATTTCATAATGTCAAAAAAGCGCCTCCCCCCCTTGAATAAGCGCCCACCTCTTCCCTCACTTTCTAAGTAGTAGGAATACAAGGAAAACTTGTTTCTATTGACAAGTTTGAGTAAACAGTGACCGCATTGGTTTGCACGTCAGAAAGCTCGAAGCAGCTACAATCATTTTTAAAATTCTGTTGGTTGTAATCAACGCCTTGGAAATGTTCACAGGAGAATTAAATTTTGACTGCAGCTCGTCACTGATCGCATTTGAAACAAAGCTGCAATTCTTTCCTTTGCTGACGAGAAGATTCGATTTCTTTTAACATACTTTTTGTTTTTGTCTATTCCGTTTAGCATCTGAATATTGCTTTTCCCCGTTATCATTCGTTTGTACTTGGGAAGAGTATCATATGTATTTTTTTTAATTATCTGAACGCACATCCAATGAACAATGCCATCAACGTTTATTTCCTCGTTACAAGGAAATTTGTGCTTTTAAATGTAGTTCGAATGTAACTTTTTTGAGAATTTGGTTTGTAGTTAATACTCTAAAATGGCAAAATCTCGATGTTTAACTACTTTAATTGTATATAAACCTCTTCTTAGGTCCTCTCTCTCTCAGGAAATTCAATTCTTGAACTATACCACACAAGTCCCAATGAGGTCGAGAATCTCCTCTCAGTAAATACCACCCCATCACCCAATCAATTGAAAATAAATATATATATACCAGCATTTGCCGGTCGCCATAAAGATTTATGATAGAAATCAAGCTTTTATTTGTTCTCGATCAATGTTAAATATAGTCAAAATAGCGGCCAGCTTTATTTAACAACACCAAGGCGAAATTTGCGGTTTTTCCTTTTTTTGCTGCATGCTTTCAATTTTGCAATGCTTTCGTTAGAATCAGTTGCAACAGAAACTTCCCGGAAAATTTTTACCAAGGATAGTATTAAAGAATTCTAATTATTTAGTGTTTCAAAAAGCACTCAAGAATTAATCCCGACGAAAAGGAGAAGAAAAATAAAATGACCTGGCATAAATGTTGAACATGTGAGGCCTACTTTTACAAACTGGACATTGTGAATTTATTTTAATTGTAAAACAGAGAATTTTATCTGGACGATTCAGGTTGCCCCTAAAAGCAAACCCAAACGACTGGGTGTTACTGGCAAGCTCAGTAGTAAGTAAACGTTCATTGCGCAATCAGTTCATCACAGACTATTTAGAAAATGTTCCCTTTCTGGATTTAATGGAAGAGTAAAGCGGAAATTGGGTCATGAGATCTTTTTATAACTAAAACTAGTTCAAACCCCATTTTTGAGTCGTTTTTCCCTCCGCCCTTTTAAAACTCAACCAAACAAAGGAAAGGGCCGGTTTGTACGTCAGCAAATTGGGAGCAGCTTGAATCGCTCAAATTCTATTGGTTGTAGTCAATATTTCATTTGCTTACAAGTCGCATCAGAGGCAAGGCTAAATATCTACTGGAAGATACCCTGATAACTCCACTACGTGTGGAAACGCAGCAGCTCATTCCCCAGATAATGGTGACAGATACATCAAAGCTATGGGATATATTTTGGTGCAGTAAACTCTTTCAATCCATGTATGACCTCAGAAAACTCACTAAGAATGTAGGAGGTGAGGTGGGGAACTGAAAAAAAGCCCTTTTCCATCTATCCATCCCTCTCCTTTCTTCCCTCAAATGCCAGAGTGAGAACTTGCTAAGCAGACTATAGATTGCTCGCCGTCTACTTGACAAATAAATGTTCCCACGTGTCTGTTCCGTAAGAACTCGCAAATGACGTCAAAATGTTTGTAGAAACAAAAAGGGGTAACAAGAAGGCGCAGTCGAGTTCGTCACTGATGTTCTTACCACGTTTTGATGTCATCTTTTATTTATAGCAGAATAAACTCAAGGTATTCTGACGTTAATGACGACGTCACCCATGCGTCTATTCTCAAACGAATTATACAGAAGAGCCCGTAAAGCTTCTTGATTCATTTTCTTCCGATGTGCAGCGAGCGCGAAGACGAGAAGAGACCTGAATAAGGACTTTACCCGTATGGGTTCCATTTGTACAACCATTTGAGCCCAAAGTTTTACGGAAATTAAGTCGACTGGTTGCTAAAACTACTATGATGTTTAAATCCTAAAAAATAAGCAAAGCCAGGATAACAACACGAGAACATATTCAGGCACTCCCTACACATTACCACTGATAAGCCTTTGCTGATCATGTCAAAAACCACCTCATGTAACCCAACAAAATCCAGTGGACTATTTCGATATTTTGGTGTCAGCAAAACTGATAAGCACTGTAAAATTAACAAAAAATGGCATTATTCCTTCAAATTGACGGCACCCCTTGATGCCAACTTCAGCCGTTACTTTCTGATGTACTTTTTATGATTATTATCATTTTAAATAAGTCAGAAGATGGGAGAGAACAAGTACTTTTAAACTTACTAACACTTCAAAGCAAATGTTTCATAACTGTTCAATTCCTAAGAAGGAAATTTATATGCTGATCAAATGATATTGAGCTTTTCCCGTTTTTCTTTCTGCATATTTCTTTGACAACCTTTTTGCAGTAAGTTTAACTTGTATTCATTCAACTTTATAAGACAACTGAGATACCGTAGAGCCTGTATTTAGCGGTCACCCTGTATCGAGCGGTCAATTGTCAAAGTTCTGAATTTCTTTCCCCTCAAACACTGCAATTTTTACCTCTATTTAGCGGTCACCTCTACTTAGTGGTCGCAGTCCACTTATATTTAGTCTCAATGGCCTGTTTTTGTCGTTCTCCTCATATATCGAACGGTCACTTGAAGCGGAACCACTCAAATAAAACTAAGAATAATCCTTCAAGGAATTTTTAATCCATGTTTCTCTCCTAGAACTAAAGTAAGTGATATTTTCGAGCGAGGTCTTGTACGCTGAGTGGTCAATTACGGCATAAAGAGGGGTTACTTATCGTTTTTTGTAATATCCCTAATCTGTGGAACCTGTATCAAGCGGTCACCCTGCCATTTCCCGTGGGCTTGATACAGATTGGAATGTACTAGGAGCGCCCTGATTGGTTAAAAACCCATCCTTTACTGCACCAGTAAACCCATTTGAGAAGTTTCTAAGTCACTCACCTTTGGCTCGTGATTGATACATCACCAAAGGCAGGACCATCATGAAATCAGTAATACAGTTAGCGTGCAAACCACTGATCAGCACCCTACTTGCAGGCGGGTTAATTAGCAATTCGTCGCGTTTTGAGGTAATAGGGTATTGTAGCACTTATGCCAGAGGAATTTTCGCAAGTAGGGGCCGCGAGAACAATATGGGCGAGTTTCCAGATTCTATGGTAGTTTCGACGCTTCTGAAATGTCTTGCTCGCACTTCACTACCCGCAAGAAAACCTCGCCAAGAATAATCCTCCGCGTCATCATGGCTGCCGTTAATCTTCATAACATGCGTCTATCCTCCATCTCCACATCCAAAATTCCCCATCTGTCAGACAACTATGATTGGTTTAGAGTCAAGGCCTAATATAACCAGTTGACTGGCGTTTGACCTATTTGATACGAAAATAAATCAATGCGTGATCATTTTAGTTTGCGGCGAAAAATGTTCTTTCGACATCGAAACTATTCGATAATTTTGTCTCTTTTTTTATGCTCGAAAAGAGAATCATTTGGTATCACTTACTTGAAAAGGTTGTAAGCTTCTTTGCAGAACCCAATACCTAAATGTAACGAAAAAAAAAAAAGTCGGGTGTTTAAGATATTAATTTAGGCTCTATCACAGTTCAGTAGGGGACACAAAACTAGAGTCGTTGTACATTCTTGTATCAAGCTATTAGCAAAATCTTTGGGCAATAAGAGATGATAAATATACTTTGATACCAGTTATAATTTACTTCCAAAAGGGGGGGTTCAGAGGATTTTGGTTGTGTCACGATAAAATTAACCAGATCGCCCCACCCCCCTCCCTCTCTGTTAAAGCTCTGTAATATTCTTACGATCCCCTTTCACTGGCAGTTTTAAAATTGACAGTCAATTTTTACAGTCCCCCCCCCCTTTAAACTCTGTCGGCGACGACTGATTCCTACGGTAGCCCACAACTGTCACGGCAAAACAAAAAGTCACGGCACTACAAACTTTACTCACGGCAAAACAAAATTAACTCACGGTTCGGTAGTAGATGAAGATGCAAACTTTTGTAAAAGCTGTGGTAGGGGTACGTTTCTTAATTTGAAGTGTTCGTATTTGCATTTATTTTAGTGCCAAATAACGATAGGCGTAAGAAGACACTGCTACAAATTAGCTGATTAGCACGTGTCTGGAATAAGATTGTGCATGTAGCCTGTGTGTAGCTTACACCTCTAATATTTAGAGGAAACTTTACTTTAAACAGTGTTATTTCCTTAATTCTTTTTAACATCAATAAAACTCAAGATGAATGATTTTGGAAATAATCAGGAATGTTTTGGCCTTTAACCTCGTGCTCTCTGACTGTTTGCAGGCGCACAGTATTTTCCACCTGTTGAAAACTCCTTATTTCATCAACGCCTATATATTATGAATATTTTCTTTGTACACACAGCCTACATGCACAATTTTATTCCAGACACGTGCTAATCAGTTCATTTGTAGCAGTGTCTTCTCTCGCCTATCGTTATATGGAACTAAAAGAAATGCAGATACGAACACTTTAAATTGAGAAACGTACCTCTACCACAGCTTTTACAAAAGTTTGCATCTTCATCTACTACCGATCCACACGCGCAGCAAAACATCGCGAGCTCGAAAAATGGCGGTTTTTCGAGCGAGCAGTGTGTTACTATTACACGACATACCATTTCAGATGGAAATAACAACCGCTGACCAACTCGTTTTCTTTGTTTTGCCGTGAATAAATTTTGTTTTGCCGTGAGTAAAGTTTGTAGTGCCGTGACTTTTCGTTTTGCCGTGACAGTTGTGGGCCACCGTAGATTCCCCCTCTTTCCCCCTGAAAGTCATGTGATCCTCTAAAGTCTTCCACCTCCCCTCCCCCGGGGGAAAATGATAATTGGTCCTAAAGAAGAAGTAAAAATAACAAATAAATATTCAGTTCCCCACCTCAGACCTTTTGATTTCGTAGTCAGATGCTCAATCAACTTGAGCATCGAGAGATTCAACATCTTTATGCATTGTATTAAATGTTTTTTAGTTCTATAATTTCGCGAACTATTTCAGAAAATTTTCGTGCTGCAAGGTTAAGTAGAAAAATTTATCGCAGTCACTTGAGAATTGTAGTATTAAATGCTGTTGGATGTATATCAGTCAAAAACCATGCCAAACTATTCACCTTTTTCACAATATTCTCCTTTGAAGCCTTTTGTACAGTGGCAACCGAACAAGCCATCTCTATAATTTGTGACACAGGTAGCTCCGTGTTGACAAGGTGACGAAGAGCAAGGTGACTGTAGAGAAACAAAGTAGGAAAATGGTTCATGTATTTTGAAAGGCAGCTGTAAATCTGTAAATATGTGATGAATAGGGATACATGAATCTGCTTATCAGCGCTATTCCGTCAATCCGGTCCGGATTCATTTGAGCACGAGAAACTGCTTTCATGCTTTACAACATGCCATAGAAATACGGTTGTCACCACAATGAATACGTCAACAGACGGACACCATTTGCGGTGGCTTTAACCTGACTGCCTTCTCTCTACGATCTTGACAAAGCTGTCAAACTTTTAACACGTTTATTTGTCAAAATTAAGAGTGTTCCCTACCTCAATGGCAAAATGATGCGAACTTTTATTCCCTTTATACTCTGTGGAGTTTCTGAACTTATCAGATGACAACAATTCGCACCAAAGTTTTCCATGGGCTCCTTTGAAGGCGGCCATGTTTACAGAAAAACAGAACGGATTGCTGAGACACTCTGACGCGCAGTCAAAAACATCAGACACTGCCACTGTTCCAACAAGCGGCACATTCAAGTGATGAAACTCGTGTTTAATGAATGTACGTCCCAGAAATGTTCTTTTGGCGGAGGGGCGGTTGCCCTCGCGATACACGGGATTTGATTCTGTAATAGGAAAGAAGAACAGTTCAGTAATAAAAGGGCACGATGGAACCGCTCACAGGAGGGAGTGGCGGGGAAGGGACTGGCTAGTTAGAAGAGAGGATGAAGTGGCCTATAGAACAGTACTCCCCCGCCATACCATTCATAGTAATTGATGTTTATTATATCTCCGTTACTCTTATTAACCTTCATTTAGCGAAATCCGCTGCTTAGGGAGATAAAAAATCATTTTGCTACGGTCAGTAGTAAATCAGCTTCATTAAATTGCAACATTAGAGGCATGCCATTGAAAAACTTCCAAGATTGAATTAACGCCGATCAGTATCAGCCTCCTTCCTTCTCGTGCCGCATTAGGATGTTGTAAATTACAGCCAAGAGATAACTGAAAATGGTAAAAAGGATTGAGATATTTATAAAATCCAGGGAGCGTTTTCAAGCTGATCTGTGCGTTTTTCTCGCTTTGTTTTCGGGACAGTGCTCAGTTCTATGCCAGAATTGTTGTCATAATGATGAGCTGATTAATCCATTTACAAGTTGTCTTCAGAGTTGTTTCACTGTCCTTTTTTCCACAACACAATCATTTACAATCTCTTTGCATATTTTTAAACCCACAGAAATGAAAATGTTGGCTTGCTTGATTCAAAATTACAGTCAAACCTGCATTATGCGGCACCGTTCCAGCGACCAACCTGTATTAAGCGGTCAGTTGTCAAAGTCTTGAATTTGTTCCCTCTCAATCACTGTAATTTTCACTTCAATTAAGTGGTCACCCCTATTAAGCGGTCGCAATTACCTTTGAGTGAGTGTAAATGACTTTGTATTATCTTCCACCTGTATTGAGCGGTCACTTAAAGTGGAATTGCTCGAATAAAACGAAGAATTATCCTTCAAGTAAAAATTGATCCATATTTTCCTTTCGAAATCAACGTTAGTAGTTTTTCTGAGAGAGGTTTTATTCAATAAGCGGTCAATTATGGCATAAAATGGCGCTTTTTCATCTTTTTTTATGATACCCCTATTCTTCGGAACTTGTTTTGAGCAGTCACCCTTGCATTCCCCGTGGGTGACCGCTTAACACAGGTTTGACTGTGGTTCGTTATGAAAAAAAACATGCGAGATATTTTGAGTGTTTTACACGATACTTTGCACCCTAGTAAAATATTGAGATATTTTAAAAAATTATGAGAATTTACGGAAAGATATGTGACGTTTGATTAGAGGCCTAAAGGTACTTTTAGATCATACGAAACCAAGTAAACAGTCGTTAATAAAGTGTTACGGTATAATCCAACCGACAGAAAACATTGCAGTCCTACAAAGTCAACTACTTCATTAAACAACGAGTGATATTCTTAATGAGGAGCGACTCCTAAATTTGTTAATTGTAAACAAAACAGATATTATTTTGTCAATAACTTGTAGCTGTCTTAACATCTTAGGCCCCTTGACTTCCGCCAAATTTGATTGACAACTTTTCTCCACCGTTGTCGTTAAACTCTGTTTGGTGCCCAGCCCAGGAGGCCCTCGGTCAACCTTCGGATAAAATCATACGACCTTTCGCAAGTCATAAACCTTAAGATTTTAAACATTTCTTGCTCTTCGGTGCTGTAATGTTATCATTCGTTTCTGCCTCTCTTGATTAATTATCTAAATATAACATATAACTTTCAAACTTTCTTTTGAAAAAATGAATAACATCAATCGATGATCTGATAGGCATAGGATGCGAATGTTTCTGCGAACCCAATTTTGGAAGTCTTTGTTAAATTATTTTGAACAAAAGCATGGCAAGGTCGAAAGCCTGAAGATAACTTCCGCAATTTTATCCAAGTTGAAAGGAGTGTACCTGTTTTCTTGGCTATAGTTAAATTGAAGTTGAATAAAGGCTTTTTCAATCAACGACTTATCTTAGTCTTGAAAAACATTTTTCAATGTGAAGTGATGGAGTGTTATTTGCATTTAACCAAGCTGAAGGGCTGGACGTTACAGGGCAACAGATCGACTTCAACTGTGTAACTTCACAACAGCAGATATACATGAAAGGAAGTTAACTAAACGTTGAGATTGTGCCATTCAACAGCGTCCTAAGTTATCAATTTAAAGCAAATAGTCGAAACAAGTTTCTAAAGAGTATTCAACGCCCATCACTAGCCAAGTGAAAATATAACAAAAAATAAAGATTGACAGAATTCAGGGCACATCGAACTTGTATCCAGATTCTGAGTTGAATTACTATGAATAAGTGAATTACACCAACATCAATGTTCTAACACTGAAAACAATCAGAGATACGCATTAATAAATGCGTCTTACAAACCTTGTGAAAAGGCTGGATCTGGAATTAGAGCAGAGAGTTCAAATATAAGGGGATAAAAAAGACCAAAAAACATGTTGAGAGGAGGTCTCGTCGCTGATGTGAGATATTTAGCTTGGCCTCTGATGCAACTCACTTATCAGCAACTGGAATGTTGACTACAACCAATAGAATTTGAGCGATTCCAGCTTCTTCCCATTTTCTGACGTACAAACTAACAAATTCCTTTGTTTTTACAACAATGGGTGTCTCAGTGCCATGTTTGTCGGTCAAACATTTCTCCGTAATACAGCTCAGAGGCAGCCCAAGGTCCAGCTGTGAGATGATCGTCTTGCGAAATAAGAGTCATGGCGAAATTATACTTACGACCGCTCTTGGTGCATCGTGCATCGCTTGTTATCGCTTGTTATCTGACCGCTTACTGTGTTGAAAGAACCTATTTCAGCGAGTTATCCATCTCTAAGTTATCACGTACATAAGAGAAGCCCTGTGGACCTCTCTTATGTAAGGTGAGGTATTTTCATTGAGAATTTGACTGTAATTTTTTTATTCCTAGGAGCGGTCGTAAATATTCCTTTACAAACTCCTGTAATTTCGCCATGACTCAGTATTTCGCATTATGATTATCTCACAGCTGGAGCTTGGGCCGCCTGTGTTCAGCTTTGACATTTTAGCGTTAAAACAAACAAAATCGTTAACTTCCTGTCTTCCTTTCTCTTTGTCGCTTATTTTCGTGGAAAAATGATGATACTGCGAGTTAGATCTTTTTGGTGGCCATTAGGAGTGCGAGGAAAGAGTAACAAATAATAAAGGAAGTGTAACTTGAGAAGTTTTGTGTGATAAAATATGTGTTTATAAGTTTTCCCGTTGACAAGTTTGCGACTACAGTGTCAATGGAAAAAAAATTCGAGTGTATCAATTCCAGTTTTGGAAGAAGGGAAGTTGCTATTTAAGGAAAAACTTGCCAACGAAATATCAATTAACAATACAGATGACTTGGCATGAAGGAAAATCAGAAGGTTTTCGTGAAATTCTGCGCTATGACAAAAGAAACAGAAATGCCATATGTGGGTTATGAAGAAGTACTAGGTGTTGAAAACCTATACATATCATTAAAAATTTACAACAAAAAACCCTTTCAAAGACCTTTCTTTTAGTATAAATTTTTGATACGTTGTGAAAATGGGTTCCTGTGTACGTGCTAACTCAATAATTTACAAAGAGAATTTCGAAATAAACGCACCATGTCCGTGATCATTCGATGTGGTTACTGTTGAATGCCTAAATGTAATAACTGTCCTAAAGGTAATAAAGTCCTGAACGTAATAACATTTGGTCCTAAATTTAATGAAGTCCTAAGTGTATTAACATTTGGTTCTAAATGCAATAAGCCTCCAATGCGATTGTTTAACTTCACAAGTGCATTGTTGTTAGAGTAGACATCCATATTGAGATGTTAAAGTAAAAGCTGTTGCACCGAAGAATCCTCTGACCAATATTCAAGGCATATTGCGGGCTCGCTGATATTAATCAGCGTCTTTTTATCTGCTTAAGACATAGGTTGAGAAGCATTGGCTAAAAACCCTTTTACTGATGTGCTTTTGGCATCAAATTGACAGACGAAAAACAATGAGAACGCTGACCAATAGCTCTCATTATATCATTGGCTTAGACTCCTTAGTGCAGCAGATTTTGACGATGTACTTGTGTGATCAGTGCTGAAGTTAACACTTCATGAACCGAATATTAAGAAAAGGAAGTCCACTGACCAAATTCCGGGCTCGGAAGAGCATTTTTTGTGCTGTCTTCCCTTGCCAGATTTGTAGGGGTCTGAATAAAATGAATTCATATGCGCTATTGACCAAGCGTGAGGTCAAAATGGCTGGATATTGGCCGAGTTCTTCTTCTTTTTTGCGTTCTTATGGATTGAGACGAAGCCCCGGTCCATAAAAACGTAAGAAAAGAACGAGGCTAATATTCAGCCATCTTGACCGAACAAACTTGGTCAGGCGAGTTTATATTCTCGCGACTTAATCGATACAGGATACTTTGTATAGCAAAAGATTTTGCTTCAATAAGAATCAAGAATGACTGGTTTATTCCGAGAGCCGAGAGTGAAAGCCAACCGTGTTTGCAGAAAAATAAACTCAAGAGGGTCGTTTAATTTTTTTCTATGTATGTGTCGACATTGTCCAAAAGTTACGAACTTTGTAAGTTTTCTTGCGCGGGATCAATGCAGGCAATCCCGAGCGGGCAATATGGGCCCATCTTACCCGCTTATGTAACCAACCAGAACCCAGGGTTCGTTTCATCTTGCCCGCGCGCGTTGCTAACTATATAATTAAGTGACTTACAGAGCAAGATATCTACCGACCAATCATATATTATCCCATTTCACAATCACAGGTCTCGGCATGTTGCTTTTTTCCACGTAAGAGTCAAATTGAATCATTGAGCTACAACATTCAACACATGATGGTCAGTTGATGGTCTAATGAAGTAATCATTTTTTTTAAGCCCCTTAAAACGGGTTCATCAGTTCCCAAACCGAAATATTGGGAGAACATATATTCCACAGTAGATATCAAGTTTTTATTTCATTTTTTGTCTTCATCTCTTCTCCTCACCGTGGGGGGAGAAAATGAATAGATAAATAAATAAATGAAAAAGAAAGCTCATCAGTTTCCACTTATAGTCATATGGTACATGAACTGATTACCGAGGTGGAGTGAAGCCACAGAGGGCTAGAAATGCAATATTCCAGGTTCAAATTGAATAAATCAAGATAGTCATTCTTAAAAATGAATTCAAATGCTTCGTTAAAACCAACTGACACTGAATAACATTGATCTGCAAAATTTCAGCAACATTACCGATTATAATACCGTTTTCTTTTGGATTAACAAGTGACAGCGAAATCATTCAAACTGTTCTAAAATGGTGCATCACTACTTACGACTTTAACACGAACGATAACATCAACAATAGCATGTTAGTTCATCATCAATTGTAGTCAATTTTTTTACGAAAAATTCCTAATGATCGCGTACCAATCGAGTCCATCCACTTGAACTTCCAGCCAAGCATTAGCCCACTTTGGAGTGGAGATGATTTTCCTCAACTCGATAAATAAACGCATAAAGGGCCACACTTTTTTAAAAGACTTCAAGGGATGATTAAAAAAGACCTCAATAAACCAGAAATATGAAGCCTTGGCAGAAATCGTTTTAGACGTTGCACCAGCACCCTGAATCGCGTATTAACTTTACGTAATGTTTGGTATGTGTGGCATGCATTACCAGTAAAGAGGAAGGCCGATGACACTAATACTATTTCTGGGATTTCTTGGATTTTTTTCTAGAACTTCATAGGGAAGATTTCTAATGTGACATTCGTCATCCCCTCTCGTCGCAAATAAGTCGATTTCTACATCTGAAACAAACTGAACTTCCATCAGCTTATTACCTGACCATCATTGGCTATGCCATTGTCGACTTCATTTCGCAATTCAGACTCCGTCTCGTTTGTTCGGCTAACATATGAGTAAGTTCCTCAGCAGCAATGTCCGTGTCGTCACCATTTCCGACGATACTGTCAGGCCCACTTTTTGCGTCAGTGTCACCCATTTCAAAATCAACGACGTCCTGCTCTATGTGCATTTTATTTGCATAATCCTCGAAAATTCTCCGTCTCCTGGGTAATTTGCTTCGTTTTCTTTTTCATTACCGTCTTTGTGATTCGTAACTTGTTCCAAGCTCACACATTGTTCGCCTTGGTTCTCAGCAAAATGTCCAAGGTACACGGTAGCTGCTGAAACACTTGCTGACGGACTGAACACATGCTGCCCACCAACCCTAGAGAGGAAACTAATTGGATGTCGATGTTATACAAGTTTGCTGCTGCATACAGCGTAATCTGGTCCCCATAGGTCCCATCGCGCCTTATATGAGTTATATAGTCAGCAAGCGAACTCATCATTTGCCAAATGCTACAACAGAAGGAAGTCATCGCTATTGTACGGGTTACTTTTTTAACTACTCTACTATTTCTTTCCTTATGGTTTCAGGAGATCTTAAAATGCCCGGTCCCTTTGGCTGGTGCGATAGTGTAGCAAATTGGAAATTGCCATCTCCAGGAGGATTGTGAACCAATTTAAAACCCTGGTCTTCAATAGCCTTTGCATAATAGTCTCTTCTCATAGGTATGTAATACTTTTTGTAGTGGTCAATTTTTTCTTACTAGACAACTTGGCGCATTTTTGTTTCTGTTTTTCTCGCCCTAGTGTAAGGCTTGTGATGTCGTCCACAGAGACCCATTTCCTTTCTTCCTTTCCTGAAAGTGGTGAGGTGTACGAAACCTTATAGGTATGCAACTTGATCTTTCGTTTCTCAATACGACCCGCCGTCACATGCCGTTTATTCGATGGTTACCCTCTCAAACGTACATACGCTTTTTCTCCGATGCTGTAAACCGAGGGCGGATTTAAGCGAAGTTGTGTTCGCTGCATCCGCTCGTCACATCTGCTCGTGGCTTTTTTAGCTTGTATTCGTAATTTCAAAGCTTGCTGTGAACGCCGGTTACGGTCATTCTTAGTTGGGCGAACCCTCCTGGCACTAGGAAGGATTTCGTCTTGTAATATACTCTCTCTGAAAGCATTGCACTTGCGTGCAAAATATATTTCGAATGGTGTTTTGTAAGCTATCACTTCCTTAAGGTTGTTAGTTAGAATTCTTTGATAAAGAGGGAGCTGTTTCGCCCAGTTTACACCGTCTTGACGAATTTTTTGAAGGTCAAAACCTTGCCTTGTGATTGGGGATGGCGCGGGCGACTGTAAATCAATTTTATATTCATGCGATCGCAAAGTAATTTCAAGGCTTTCTTGAACTCCCCTCCTTGTTCGCACTTGGTCCCCCTTTTCTGCTCATATCCATCAAATCTATTTGGTGCCTGACATGAACGTCTCTGGCCCTGATAGGTTTCGGCCTCGCGTTATTAAGGAACTTAGCATTTCGGCGATAATGACTTTTGTCCGTGTTTAGAATAGTTTGTATTTTAGCTCGACTTAACCCTGGTTAAGTTAATGTCAGCTATTTTAAAACTGGAAAGTGATGTTGTTTACGTGCA